GAGAGAGGGAAAAAACAGTTCAGTACCTAACAGCAATGAAATGAGAGTTCAATTTCCCCTCACGTTTCAAGCATGTGACATTATAGTCGGGGCACATCAGAAATGAACCTTTTAAAGCCTTTATATTCATTCTGATGGGAGGCTGGATTTACACCACCTTATATCTCAGGATTTGATGCCAGGTTATCTGCTTATTCCGGATTATCTGGCAGAGTAAACTCATATAATCCAGTTCAAAGCAGATAATCTGGGATCAGATCCTGGGGTATAGGACGGTGTAGATCCAGCCAGATTGACATTTTAACTTTTTAAAGAGGGAATGGTGAGAGATAACGCTCATTCAAAGAGTGATGCAGCTTCACACCACTTTAACTGCTATGGCCCAATACTATGAAATCATAAGATTTGTAGTCTGGTGAACGAGTGGTTGGCAGGGAAAGCAAAAGACCTTTTAAAATGACAACTCGCAGGATTCCATAGACTTGTGACATGGCAGTCAAAGCGGTATCAAATGACACTAGTTCTACAGCAGGGGTCCCCAAACTTTTTAAACAGAGGGCCAGGTCACAGTCCCTCAAACTGTCGGAGGGCCGGACTATAATTTGAAAATAACATGAATGACTTCCTATGCACACTGCACATATCTTATTTGTAGTGCAATTTTTTTAAAAAACAATACAATCATTAAAAATGAAGAACAATTTCAACAAATATAAACTTATTAGTATTTCAGTAGGAAGTGTGGGGCTGCTTTTGGCTGATGAGATAGGATTGTTGTTGTGTGCTTTCAAGTTGTTTCAGACTTAGGTTGACGCTAAGCAAGGGCCGGGTAAATGACCTTGGAGGGCCGTATCTGGCCCCCGGGCCTTAGTTTGAGGACCCCTGTTCTACAGTATGGATGTGCCCAAAGCTGAGGGGGAGGTCAGTGTGTCCTGGCTTTCTCCTGCCCCATCCTCTATTCCCACCCCCACATACATACTTGTGTGTTTCTAAAGAAGAGGATGCAAATGAATTCGCTTTTTTTACAGTGAAATTTCCTTTGGTCCTTGGAAGATGTTGCTCTGAGCCAGTCCTTAAGAAATAATATGTTTGAATGTTTAAAAAAATAGATGAGATGGCTCCTGCAAACTTATCTGTTGTGTACAACATTGGACCTCAATATATGTAACTGTTGGAACCCTCATGCTTTTACCTTTGGCCCATCTACACTGCCCTATAATCCAGTTTCTGAATGTAGAACCATAGAGTTGGCAGAGACCTCATGGGCCATCCAGTCCAACCCTCTGCCAAGAAGCAGGAAATGTGGATTAGATGCAGTGATCTGGATTATAAGGCAGTGTAGATCCAGGCTTTGATAATCCTATTGTGAAATATGATCTCTTTCTGTCTCAAGTACGGATATACCCTATCTTGATGTAAGAATCTAAGAGGTTCCCAATGCATACCTTCTTCACCACCTCCCTGGGGGTTTCTATTCAAGAAGCAGTAAAAGAAGTCAATCTCAATTCCAAAGCAGTCAAACTTTGCCTTTTAAAATAGTTTTAAAAGAAAGATGGTGAAATCTGAGATTATTCTGGAAAAGAGCATGTGTGTACTTCATGATGAAAAGTAAAATTTCATTTTAACAATGAATGATAACTATAAAGAGAAAAAGAGAAGAAGTCATTCACACGGAATCTGATAAATCTTAAAGGGAGAAGAAGCCCTCCTCTAGCACTCCTGCAGGGCAAGAAAATGTGCACCAAATTGTAGGAGCTGACTTCTCCTTACTGGATCAGCCCAGGCTAATCATGATTATTAAGTAACGTAAATTTCTAGAACACCAGATTTCACAAGACAGAAAAACCAAGGCAGCATTGTGGGATGGGATTGTTGTCAGACCAATACAAGGGCTCTTCACACATGGCCCATCTCTTTGTTGGTCAAGTGAGTAGCACAACCCCTCAAATACACTGCATCTGTGTCCAGAAATGATTTTTTTCCCATGCTGGCAGGAAGTTAGCTGGCATGGTTTATACCTTCCTTTTGGTATTGCCCTCACAATACATAGACATTCTATTCATAGTCATGAATAGAATGCCCATGGAGCAAAATGCAATATGATGAATAGTGAGAACAGATAATGTAGTCTGTGCTCATTCAGAGGAAAACTTACAAGACACTTTAAACAACTTCACAGAAGCATATGAAAAGCTTGGCCTCTCACTGAACACTGAGAAAACCAAAGTGGTCTACCAACAGGCACCAACCAATCCCTTTGCAATGCCAGAAATAAAGCTTAATGGTGTCACTCAAGAGAAAATGTTGACCATTTCTGCTACCTAGGCATCCTCCTCTCCACAAAAGTCAACACCAACACCAAAATACTGAGCTCTGTGAGTGAAGCATTTTCTTAAATGAAGCAGAGTGTGTTTGAGGATCAGGACATTTGTAGGAATACCAAGATACTTGTTTATAACGCTATCGTCCTCCCAACTCTGTTGTATGCCTTCGAAACATAGACCATAAATCCAATAAATAAATAAAACTTTAGTATTAATCCCAAACTGCATATTATTCTACATTCAAATCACATGCACATTCAACAAAGAAAGTTTTGTTTGGTAGTAACAAAAACCTAGGCATGATAATCCACCATCTCTGCCTGGTAAAAGTCACTCTGAATCAACATAGAATGATTGTTTTCTATTACCTACAGCATGAAAACAACATGAATTAAGAAGAATTTCACTTTCATCCTGCTTTAAAAGCTTACCTCAATATGAAAGATCACACTGGTATGCATTCTTCCAAGTTAAAGTTTATTCAGATCTAGACGCAGTTGTTTCCACTTATAAACAACTAGCCTGGGAGAACACTTCCCTCAAAGGTGGAGAAGGGAGACATCCAGTGGAAAGTCATAATAGTACCTTAAAGAATAAATGTATTTCCACTGAGAGAAAATAGTGGGAAATAAAGTATGTTTGAGTATCCCTTATCCAGAATTCTGAAATCCAAAATACTCTTAAATCCCAAATTGTCCACATAGGTGACTCAGATAGTGATATTTTGCTTTCTGGTGATTCAGTGAATTACATATGCTAATGCTATGTGCATTAAGTGTATATAAAATATAAATTAATTTTGCATTTAGACTTGAGTTTCCATCTACAGGAGAACTCATCATGTACATATATGCAAATACAGGTTTTCAAAGGTTCGGGGGGGGGGGGGGACAACATCCAAAATACTTCTGGATCCAAGGATTTTGGATAAAGGATACTCAGCCTTTACATTGTCTGTAGCTTTAAACAGTTCTTCCTCTGTTCATGAGGCAGAGCATTGTGGTCAAGCATACAGATGCTGAGTTGTTTGTTCTGCTCCACAGTCACACAAGGCGGAGGATTCTTCTAGGTAGTGCCATTTTGCAAGGTTGTCTTTTGATCTGCCCACTTCACTTCTGAGTGTGTTTAGGAACTTCCAAGTTGCCCGTTCTTGGTTTGCCCCTGGAGGCAGACCCTCATGAGGGGCCATCCAATTGGGATTTCCTGGTTTAACTGCCCACAGAGATGCTCTTGCTGTTGCTGGAGGAACATTAAGAGGAGTGGTGGTTCTCATGAAGCTTTTCCTTCATTTGAATCTATTGGGAAAAGGCTGATAGCCATGCAGTGGGTGGCTTTCACAGTGTTCAACCTTATTTCTCTCACAGTTAGAAACAACTTCCTGTTGAACATCAGAGGAGCAATGCAAGCTAGCTTATAGAGCAGGCATGGGTACACTTTGGCCCTCCAGGTAATTTGGACTTCAACTCCCACAATTCCTAACAGCCTACTGGCTGTTAGGAATTGTGGGACTTGAAGTCCAAAACACCTGGGGGGGGAGCAAAGTTTGTGCATGCCTGTTATAGAGGCTGTGAACAGGTGTAGGTTTGAGACATCCTGTGATTATTCTACATATTTTGTTCAGTGCTATATTCATATAATTATATGTTGTAATTATTACAGCCCACAGTTTTGCCCCTGGTCAACCTATGGATTGAGTTAATTAAAGGCAAAAAAAAGGCAAAAGCCTTTCAACATAAAGTCTTTCTAATTGCTGTCTTCCTTTATCTTTGGTTAGGCTACAGGTACAAGCATATAGACACTTTCTATTGACACAACAGGACACAGTCTTAGATACCCTGGATAGTACATTGGAACTCAATCCAAGTAGACTTGTAAAGAACTATGCTGTAAATTGGCTGAAGTAACTGTGCATGTTTAATAATACTGCCTTTAAGTACTTGTTCTTTTAAATAGCTAAACCTACTGCCTGAATGATTTGCCCAAAATTATTCATGAATTCATAAAAGAACAGATGAGCCATAAAAGTCCAATTCCTGAGCCAACATGAGATTATGTGGACATCTTCTGCATGTGTTATTTGTGTTGTAGTCAGACACCCTATAACATTCAAATAACATAAGTTTTTGAAAAGATCTGGTCCCTTGGAGTTTAACTTTAACCACAACATTATTCCATAGTCAATGGATGCAGGGAACATCTATACAGTCCATTACTCGTCCAATGAATATTGTTTTTATAATCCTGACATTTTTATTTGTCACTTTTAGGCAATAAAATGCATGATCCTGCCAGTTATTTGACATTACACTGGCTTTGGATGGTTGCCTTTCCCACATATTAATAGTAACTCATTACGGACACAGTGCTGGTATTCAGTTAGATCAAGCCAGTCTATATGTATAAAAATGAAACAACTATGTCATATTTTTTAAAACCAGATGTTTTTAATTTCCATACAGGGAAATAATCCACAAAGTTCTATTGTTCAAGGTAGTGGTTACAAACATTAAAGATATAAGGAAACAGCACCCCAAAGCCGTGTTCATTTTTAATCTTGTGCTTAAATCCCTGATTACATGCATTCATTTGTCTGTGTCTTTTTCTGTCTTCAAACTGAGGCCTAAAAATAGCCTAGTCTACATCAGGGCAAAGGTTTGTGAACACCTCATTGCAACATGTCAGATTTCAAAGCTGGCCAAAGAAAATAGAATTACATGGAATAGACCTAGATGGAGGAAAAGGCAAAAGTAGCTACTTATGGCCAAAGCCTAAGATGTATACTCAGAAGTAATTCAGAAGTAAACTCAGAAGATGAATACTCAGAAGTAAATCAGAAGCTAATTTGGAAGTGGTTTACTCAGAAGTAAATCAGAGGACATTCAGTGGTAGTTACTTCCTCCAAATATGTCCTACGTTTGTACTGCAGCTCTTATCTTCTTCTAGAAAATGACTCTCTACCTTCTCCAGAACCATCTTTCCTGGAAACAGTACGTATTTCCACATTACATGCATTCAAATAATGTTTGGACAAGATTGGATTTTCTTAATTGTTTGCATATGTCTCCAAATAAATATCTGTATATTTCTATGTCTTTCTGCCCTTTCTCCCACTGTAGATTTTTCTTTATCACACATGAGTTTGTCGGCTTATCTACACTCTTGGATGTACTTATCAGCCAGCTATGTCTTCTTCTACAACTCTTAATCACTATCCTTAAAATCTACATTTCTTACTGCATCACTACGCTAGCATATTTTGCACTTATCTTAGCTTTCACATCCCCACCCCCTTTTCCTGCCACGTGTGCATAAATGTTAGACTACTCCATGCATCTGGAAAAGTGGGCCATGCTTAAAGGTACCACTAGACTACCTTTTCCTTCCCTTTTTATATTTCCTAATATATACATTTAGGATTGCAGTATTACAAGGGTTTATTTGACATACTGATGTCTCCAAATAAAATTATAATCCTATGCATACTGACCTTGGAGTAAGCATCCAGTGAAATAGGTGGGAATAATACTGAAGTAAATGTGCAGAGAGTATGCTATAATAATAATTTGGATTACAGATTTGCAGACAAGTCTTACTTATAGTAATTTTCTTGAGGAGTAAGTTTTGTTACCATGCATTTAATCTCAGCATTACCAGTTATTCACAGCAGATAAAAGGTAACTATGAATGTAAAATACATGGCTGGAGGCCACCTTCTCTCCATAATTCGTTTTTCAACAGGTGATTATTTTGGTCCAACCACTGGTTTTCTGTAAGGAATGGTGATAGTGTAGTGTATTTCACTGCTATTGCTCCTGTAACTTTAAGGACAGATTCAGATATTAAACTGGTATTGGTGAGATGGGAAACTGAAGCCTTCCAGTATTGTTGGGATTATAACTCCAATGATCTCTTATCGCTGACTATGTTGACTATGAACTACAATCCAACCACTTTTGGAAAGCCTCAAGTTCTCCACCTTTGTTTTATGCCTTGTTGTTTTAGTGTGACTTCATGTTGTTTCTGGCTTACAGAATTCCTAAGGCAAACTTATAATGTGGTTTTCTTGACAATATTGTTCAGAGAGATTTCTCTTTTGCCTTCCGCAGAGGTTGAGGAAATGTGATTTCAGAGAGATTTCTCTTTTGCCTTCCGCAGAGGTTGAGGAAATGTGATATGCCCAAGGTCACCTGGTAGATTTCCTTGGTTGAGCAGAATTATAGGCCAATGCTCAAAGTGTTACACCACCCAGTCTCCAAAGTTGTAGTTCAAAAACTACTATACCATGCTGACTCTTCTTGTCTTACTAGAATGATACTGAAAGCAATTGAAGACTTTTTGCATATTTAATTTCTGTATATTCAGGTGTGAAATGCACAGGACTCTCAGAATGGATCTATCGTACTAGAAAATATTTTGAGAATTTTGAATTGAATACACATCTGCAACACTCCCTTGCAACAATTAACAATATCTACTAGAGCACCTACTTATAATTAAATACAAAGCGGAACAAATCTTTGCTCTCTTCTATAAAGAAAGCTCACTACTCTTCTTTTAAAATGTCTTCTTTTCCTTAGTTTGTTCTGAGTCAATGAGGAGCTACACTGGGAAAAGAATTTGTGAGATTTGGAGAACTTTGCTTGCTCTTGACTAATTGAAAACATGGTAGATGTGGAAAAATGGATTTGCAGGTAAAGTGACTTGAATTGGCACCTGGTGCTTGTCCTTAAGAAAAAAACAATACTGATCACTTTATTGGGTTTTAACACACATTTTTCTCAATTGTAGAATCATGCTGCTCTTTCTTTCATTCCATTCTGGAACAGGGAGAACTCAGCTAGCACTAACACCTCCAGGTTAGTGATGTGATTATTGATTGTTTCTTACCCCACTGAACCATTAGACTTAATGGAGACAAGCAGATTGAGGATTATGAGAATGTGTTCCTTCAGATTCCTCTGAACTACAACTTTCACAATGCTGGATCATTTTCTGGGGCTAGTTGAACTGTATGATCAACAATGAATAGATTATCTACCAACTATCCTTCCTCATGTATCCTGTACTGTGCTGACCATCCCTTATTACTACCCTCACTAATCTTCTTCAATCCTCTTTCTAGGTTTTATAGAAACTGCCTGCTTCAACAGTATGTTTTGGATGAAGTTGGATGAGTCCTTTCTTCAGAAAAAGTACCTCAGGATAGAAATAATTAGTAAGCTGTAATACATTCTCTTGGGAAAGGAGTCAGGAAGAGATTGTCTCTTTATTTCATACCTGTGGTCTGGTTATATATCATTACATGTAGGTTGGGTTTCCCTTATCTGAAATGCTAATGACCATTTCACCGGAGCCCCCGGTGATGCAGTGGGTTAAACCACGGAGCTGCTGAGCTTGTTGACCGAAAGGTCGCAGGTTCAAATCTGGGGAGCAGCATGACCTTCCGCTGTCAACCCCAGCTTCTGCCAACCTAGTAGCTTGAAAACATGTCAACATGAGTAGATCAATAGATACTGCTCCGGTGGGAAGGTAATGGCACTCCATGCAGTCATGCTGGCCACATGACCTTGGAGGTATCTACAGACAACGTGACTCTTTGGCTTAGAAATTAGCACCAATCTCCAAATTCGGACACAACTGGACTTAAAGTCAGGGGAAAACCTTTACCTTTACCTATGACCAGTAGTTTTGGATTTTTTTCAAGTTTTGGAATATGTGTTTTTGTATAGATATTGATATATTTTATTGATTGATTTATATTCCACTTTATCTCTCTATACGGAAACTCAAAGCATCTCACCATCAAAAACATTACAACTTAAAATATACAAATATACAATAATAAAACACTATATCATTATATATTATATATTATCAGTAATAATTATATTTAATATATTAGTATTATATAATATATAAAGATATAGAAAAGTGGATAGTTATGCATCTAGTCCCCACTGAGTGGAGACTTAAGGAACTGTGATTTCATCACAGTCTGAAATGTAATGGGGAAAGTAGCAGTGGTGGTGGCGGGATAATGAAGGCAAGGGAAAACATGACAGCCCCATGAGAAAAACTCAGTGGGGACTGAATTTCCATCACACAATGGAAATTTAGTGTCCTAGGACACTTCTACCCCAGTTGATCCACAGAGTCCCACACCATCCATCACACAGCATAGCCTCACTTCCAGTGGGGCACCATGGGTCAATTGGAGCAGCAGCGTCTTAGGAGAGTCTCCCTGTTTTCTATTTGGTTCAATAGGGCTAGCGGCAACACTTCCTTAGATAAGATGGGGAAGCATCAAGTGGCAGCGAGGCAGGTTGAGGGCCACCAGGAATGCCCCGCTGCTTCCTAATTCACTATGGAGACTGGTGAATCAGAAAGCTGGACCTCATCAGTGTGATGAGATCATATAAGTAGCCCCCTTTCATAAAGTTAAGCCCTCTCCCCAACTCCCCACAGGGAAATGGGATGGTATATAAATAAAGTTGACTTGACTTGGGGGGCACCAAAAGTTTTAAGTTTTGGAGTCTTTTGACTTTCCAGAAAAAGGGAAATTCTAATCAAATTGATAGGTCTTATGATTTCATCACACATTTAGTTTTCAGCATCAGAGAAATCTTCTGCCCCAGTTGAGCCATGGAGTCCCACGCCACCCATCAGATGACATAGCTTCACTTCGAGCAGAGTTCCATGGCTCAATTGGGGCAGCAGCATCTTATGACACTGCACCAGCAACATGGGAGCTTCCCCATGTTCCATTAGGAACAATGAGGCTAACATAGGAGGAAGATTAGCAGCTATGCTTCCCCACATGTAATGGGGGAGGGTCATTGGCAGCAAGGCAGGGTGTGGGGCTCTGGGATTGCCCTAAGACTGGTGAATTGATAGAGGGGACCACATCAATGTGATGAGGTTCATACTATGACCTAAGGAAGCACAAGGCTGATGTCCAAATAAATCATTTGTGACAGGACCTAGATTTCTCTAACTTTTACTAACTAGGACAGGTTTTATCAATCATTTTTTTTAATCTGTACTTACTCCTAGAGCTTGTAAACAATGCATTGAATCAATGGTAATTTGATAAATCAACATTTTAGTAAAATCTTTTGATATATAAGCTCAACTTTAGCTAGAAGTACGAATTAAGTGTCAGGCCCTGCTAAACATTTCATAATGCCATGGGGAAATGAGCTGTGGGAAAATCAAGCTTACCATAACAAAGATCAACCAAACAAGTCAACTCAGACTTTTACTGTTGCCAAGACCAGGCCCACTGATGTTTAGAATTTCATCTATCATTTCTGTGGTAATAAATTCAGACATTAAAGCAGTGACAGAGAACATTGTCCAAAAGTTGATGAATTACTTCTTTTCATCATTTGTTACTATTGGCCAGTTTGATAGGATTGATGGGAGTTCAGGTGCATTGTCTATCCCAATCTTGTGTTTCCATATTTGTTGACTAAGAGTGCATCTACATGGTAGAAAAAAATGTAGTTTGATACTATTTTACCTGTCATGACTCAGTGCTATTTAATCATGGAGTTATCATTTGGTGAGGCATCAGCATTATTTGACAGAGATGGCTAAAGACATTACAAAATTACAACTCCTATGATTCCAGAGCACTGAGCCATGGCGGTTAAAATGGCATCAAACTGCATTAATGCTACAGTGGAGATGCACTCTAAATCTATTAATGTTTTGATCTTTGAAATATGTTGTCTTAATCTGCTATTTTGAAATAGCTCCATGCTTGGCTAAGACTCACAGTTGGTAAGCAACTAAACTGGAACTATAGGACACCGAAAAAAATTGTTTAGAAACCAAAGTGGAGGTCAGATGAGCTACAAATAGCCACTAGATGCCCAAGTACTGTCTCTGTAGAGAAGTTGATACTATTTTGTGTGTATCTCTAGATCACTCGGTTGTCACTGTCTTGCCTGACAAGGAGGTGGAAACTCGCTGTGGTTATGCCCTGTCAGAAGATGTGTGGGGAAATCGGATCTTCCGGGCTTCTTTTCTTGGCTGTCATGTTACAAATGAGGTGAAGCCTCCAAATGCTCTGATAAAAGCATGACTAAAGCTAACCTTAAAATGTGTTGTTGTCGTGTACCTTAGTTATTTCTTAAGGCAAGCCTTAGGGATTTTCTTGGCAAGATTTATTCATCCCTTGCATTCCTCTGAGGCTGATACTGGGTCCATTTTAGCGGGGATAAATGTGTTTTGTGTTTGGTGATACACTAAGAATGCAGAAGATTCTGGCCTGAAAATCATTCTAGAGGCTGCTCATTCTTACTTTAAAATTTGCTTCTTCTGGGATGGTTTTAAATTAAGAGAAACCGTTTTTATCCTAATAAAACAAATGTTTCTAGAACACACAGGAGAGGGATAATTTAAAAAGATGAAAGGAGGATAAATTCATTAGTTTTTGACACTCCTCCACAGAACAGCTAGGTACTGTTTGTAAGTGATAAGGTGACATGCCCTTGTTTGCTTGCTTTACTTTATGCTCTTTATGTTGATATTGGACACTGGCTTGGAAGAACAGAGAGCAACAGACAGGGAAAAGCACGGCCAAAAATGTCATGACCTGCTGGTTGATCTAGGACAGTGGTTACTAACCTTTGGTCCTCCAGTTGTTTAGGACTTTAACTGCCAGAAATCCCAACCAGCTTCCCAGCTGTTAGGAATTGTGGGAGCTGGAGTCCAAAACAGCTGGAGGACCAAGGGTTGGGAACTACTAGTCTTGTGTGATCTTAGATTTGGAACACCATGTTAGGCAGAACAGCAAATAAAAGGGAACCTCATATTTTTGCTAGGTATCCAGGGGAAATGTTGGTTGCAAGAGTTAAACTCATGGTTGTCATACTCCCAGAAAGTTCAGTTTGTTTTTGGGTTATTGAATGGGATATGGAATTGACTGGAATGATGTTACGGCTATTAATACTATTAATAAAATAAATTATTGCACATGCTAGTCAATTGAATGAAGATGTGCATCAGTCCTTGCTTGATGTTGAAAATATGGCTCTTCAGGTGTTGCCTGACTACCTTACCCAAAGGTGAAGGACAAAGGGGGTTGTTGTCCAATAACATCTGGGGACACACGTTTCCCATTCTGGATTTGCAGTATATTTTTTCTGCTGCCTATATATCAGTAATCATTATGAAACACACAATGTGTGATCAAGGATCAGAGTGAATATGAGAGCTTGGAGTGTGGGAAAAAGGGGCACAATTGATGTGCTGATGAAAGAGCACAGTTGTGAAGGCAGCAGCCATCAAACATTCTGAGTTAGTGCATGCTATATTTAATTACCGTATATACTCGAATATAAGCCGAACCAAATATAAGCCAAGGCACCTAATTTTACTACAAAAAACTGGGAAAACCTATTGACTTGAGTATAAGCCAAGGGTGGGAAATGTAGCAGCTACTAGTAAATTTCAAAATAAAAAATAGATACCAATGAAGTTGCATTAATTGAGGCATCAGTAGGTTATATGGTTTTGAATATTTACATAAAACTATAATTTAAAATAAGACTGTCCAACTCTGATTAAATCATTATTCTAACCTTCTTCAATGTAAATGTGCTTACGTATCCATCCAGTAATGACCATAGTTTATTTTAACTATACATTTTGGGCAAAATGATGTGTGTATATGAATAAGGAAAAGTGGGAAAGACCGGTGCCAAAAGAGGAGGAGAGGAAGGCATGCACTGCACTGAGGGAGAAGAAAAGGAAGGTATACACCCTGCCGAGAGAGGAGGAAAGGACGGAGTGCTGGGTTGCTGTGCAGAGAGGTGAGGGTCCTGGCAGGAAGGCCTGGGGCTGAAAGAAGCCCTTCTTTCAGCCCCAGGCCTTCCCGCCAGGACCCTCACCCGAGTATAAGCTGAGGGGGGCTTTTTCAGCCTAAAAAAGGGGTGAAAAGCTAGGATCGCTTACAAAAATTTAATTGATACCAAAGAGAGGGGGGGACTAAATTTACCAGATTTAAAAACGTACTATGAGGCCGCCTGCATGAGCTGGCTCAGAGATTGGATACAATTCCGGAACATAAATCTACTAAATTTAGAAGGACATGGAATCAGATATGGATGGCATGCATACCTTTGGTATGAAGGAGAGAGATTAAATAAGGCTTTCAATAAACATGTAATTAGGGGAAGCTTAATAGATGTTTGGAAAAGATACAAATTAGGGATGGAACCCAAAACACCCCTGTGGCTGAGGCCAATAGAAGCCATTGGGAGACCTATCTGCAAGGACGATGTCAGAACATATGGGGAACTACTTATCAGGTCCAATGGCCAATGGGCATTGAGGGGGAAAGACGAATTGGGTATTAAAGATTGGTTCCGATATCATCAATTATACGAAAGATTTAAAAAAGACGATAAGAGGAGATTTGCTTCAAAAAAATCAGATCTGGAAACTATATTAGATAAAGGGGGAAAAGGCTTAATAGCCAGATTATACAAATATATTCTACACTATAATTTGGAAGATAATCGTGTTAAAACCCCCATGATCTCATGGGCAAAAGATTTAGGGAGAAGCATAGATTTCGACATCTGGGAAAACCTGTGGAACAATGGATGTAAATTTACAGTGGCAGCTTCAATTAGAGATAATGTATATAAAATGTTCTATAGATGCTACATAACCCCAGCCCTCCTAGCCAAAATGGACAACTCACAAACAGGTTCCTGTTGGAGGTGCAAAACAAAGAAAGGGACTTTCTTTCATGTCTGGTGGTCGTGCGAACTGGTGCAGGTCTATTGGAAAAGAGTAGTAAAGGAAACAAATAAAATGATTTACAACAAAGTAAAAAAGAACCCAGGGATGTGCCTATTAGGAATATTCAGAGATAGATTAGAACAACCAGAGAGAGAAATTTGTTTGTACAGCTTTGCGGCTGCACGCATTACAATTGCCAAAGATTGGAAAGGGGAGAAAACATTAAGCATCAAAGATTGGAAGGATAAACTGTGGGATTATGCACAGATGGCTAAGATTTCAAGCAATTTGAAATATGAAAACCATGAAATATTTGAAAGAAATTGGAAGCTGGCCTTAGCATACTTGACGGGAGAGCCAAAGAAATAAAAACAAGAGGAATTTATTGAATTAGAAGTATAGAGGGTTAAATAAGTTGTGCATAAGTCCTGCGTGGATTAGTGACGGAAGTCAAGGTGGTGGGTAGCACTGGGGGTGGGTGGAGGGGTAACTGTATGGTGGGTTGTTTGTGTATGTGTGTTTGTTTGTGTATGTGTATATTTTTACAACGTATATGGTTGGTGTATTATCTTTTTGAAATAAAATTTATTAAAAAAAATAAAAAAAGCTAGGCTTATACTCAAGTGTATACAGTAAGTCATTATAAAGGAGAAAAATTGCTTTAAAAACATTGTTTTGTGTCATTATGACGAAACAGAGCTTCATAAACATCTACAGAATGACTGTAGGCTAAACCAATTGAGTAATTGAAGTTTGGAAACATGGGTATCTTGGGGGGACTACAGCTCACAGTAGGACAACCATGTTGGCTGGTGGGTTCTAAAGTTACAGGTGAAAGAAATACGTTTTCCAAGCTTCTTGATCAATATATATAAGTTAAATGGATTCTTGAGAGAGCCTTTTCATTTGCATGAAGATATAGACTGCAATAACCCAATTTATCCTAAATTATTACAGAGGGATGAAAAGTTTACTCTTACTGTAAATATTAAAGTGTCATCATTTGAAAACATGAGAGCACCTATGACTTATCAGCGTGTTCTGAGCTGTCCCTATTTCCCATGGGCTCCACGGGAGATTGTGTGTGAAGAAAATTACATGGAGGTAAGATCCAGTTTGGTGTGTCCATTACAATTATTATGGGTTGTGTCGACCTTACCTTTGCTGCTGAGAGGACTATTTTATGTAGGAAATGTGTGAACAAATGTAAAAAGAAGAGGTGGGGAGCATTGATCAGTATGTTGCATGTGTCTATGAGAGAGAGAGAGAGAGAGAGAGAGAGAAGGGGTCAGATCCCCATTTGAGGAAAGTTGTGGAGACTGCTTTGCTGCAGTGAGTGCAGTTTGGCCACTCATACCAATAATTCATAACTGGTCATCCTTACCAATTGGCCTTTTCTCCTCTCACCATTTAAGGAAAAGGCCCAGTTAAGCAGTTTCATGTAGTCCAAATGCAAATTGGAAAGTGCAGCCTCTCTTTAAAATCAATTAAAAAAGAACCAGCCATTTAATTTACCTAAAACAAAGAGTATACAAAGTGGAAATGTAAACATGAAGACATTTTTGAGAGTCTGTTAAATTGTGTACTGAACAAACTCTAATCTCATATCAAGGTGTCAGTGAAGACTGATGTCCCAGTGATTTCAGATGTTGAGACTGAAGACTGGATGCCAGCCCTGCCAGAGGTAGGAAAAGGACTGTTATTATTTGTACACCATATATAACCAATCCACGAATAAGTCAACATCATGTTGAAGGCATGTTTTTGGGCCAGAATTATGGATTTTGATATGACCCATGGATATCTCAAAGGTCATTCTGTGGTGAAGTGAAAGCACCAATGCTACCTCAAGGGGCCAACCACATCTGGCTGCTGCCATCAGTTCCTACCCCAGACATTCGAAAAAGTGAGAAGCAGTGCCACGGCAGAGGGAGTTGTGAGGATCAGATTTTCTTTTAGCTTTTCCTGGGACAGAGTAAGCTTTTGCCTTCTGCCATTTGACTCGGAGAAGGGAATTAAGGCATAGTGCTTACATTGACACATGGATCATTCAACCCAGGTTTGGGGGCAGGGAGGGGTTTGACTAAAATTTCTAGATATGCATGAGTATATAGGGTAATAAATTCATACACTAATTCAAAGAGCAATAATTTTCCCCTGGCAGTTTACAACTACTAGCATGAAAATGTTAGCTAAATTAGTATTAAAAATCAATTAGACTGTAAATTTCATGCTATCTCTTCCTGGAGGCAACAGACTTCACGTCTGATCTTTGTAATAAAATTGCCTACTCAAAGAGTTTGCTTCTATTACAGGATGTGGCCTTGACATGATATATGTATGTACAGGTGTGGATTTTTTTAAAAAAAAAAACCCAATGGGGTAATTTATGTGCTGTGTCTAAGTAAATCTGTAATCTTTGGTTACATTAAAGATCTACCATTCTTATCAACCAAATCCTTTCTCTTTCCCACCCTTTTAGACAGAAAAGGTTGCATATCAGGTATGGCAGCTGATATTCTATTCTCCTTCAGGGAGAAAGACAACCGTGGTGAGTGATGCCAGTAAGCTAGGCTACAGTTTCAATAACACGCTGACAAGAGTTTTCCTTCGGTCTCCATACTCCACAAATGAATCCGAACATTCAGTGGTGAGTTTTTAGACAGGTGGCTTTCTTCTAATGAATACCAGGCTGCAGATGAACTGGACTTTACCATGTATATTTTACATACAGGCTAATGGGGTCACTATGAGTACCGTCAGCTCCACTTCCATGTACAAACAAAGATGGCTTCTCCTGTTGATTGATACCACGGTATCATGCCCTGTTGGCAAGTATTTCTCCTCTATTCTAAAATGCATTGTTTACTCATATGACCCTGGAAAAGCTCATCCTTTCTTGAAAAACCACTGCTACCAGAGTTGGCTTTAATGCAGCAAAGATTCTTGTGATACCTTTAATGGTAACGAATTCTATTACACATCTTTCATGAGTGTTGTTCACTTTTTTCAGGTACATAGTCTTTCTTCAAATTGGCCATTCATGTGAACATGTTTGAAAAAGTGGCAAGGTATCAGAAACTGAAAATAAGACGGAATTAAAGGCCAGACAGGAATAATTATGACCAAAGCACTGGTCATAACTGATCATAAAAGGTGCCACAAAACTTGGTTGTTTCTGCTGCAATTGACCAACCAAACTATCCCTTAGGAAACCATATCATAAGATTTTCCTGGCTCATTGAGGGTTGGCAAGGGGGTTCATCAATATTCATCAATATTAAAATGTTAACTGCTTATGTTGTGGAAATACTTTTAATTTTAACCAACAATGCTCTATCTCAGGCATGGGTAAACTAAGGCCCTCCTCATTTTACCTGTTCTCTTGGCATAAGGGCACGGTGGCCTGCCACATTCTAATGCCAAAAAGATGAGAGAGGAAGGCACACAGCAGCTGAGAGCCCTCTGGAGCACTCTCAGCCACTGTGTGTGCCATCCTCCTCCTGGCATAATGCCAAGAGGACAACCCTAGGATCAGGGGAGGAGGATCGGGGCAGTTGCTGCATGTTCTACCTTCCTCCCGGCATAAGGGTGGGGCAAGCAGCCCTGCCTCCTTCTGGCCCCACCTCTCCTGGGCCCTACCCCTCATGAGTCTACTCCGTCCAGCATGCAAACGGCCCCACTTAGTTCCAGCCTGGTCCTCCTGGCTGGGCCCACAATCCAGCCCAAAGACAAAAAAGTTTGCCAACTCTTGCTCTAACTCTTGCTATGTCTTCAATCAACAGATGGCACCAGCTTCACAGATACTGCCATAAAATGGACTGTGCCAACTATGATTCCTAGACTCGTCCTTCAAGCCCACACCTTCACATCCCTTAATATATCAATGGGAGTTGGAGGAAAAAGAATTGAAAACCCTGAAAAATTCAACTATACACTGGAAAATAATCACACACATGTTGGAATAACAATCCCAATTGGAGCATTTGGGGGCAGATTTAAGGTAATACTAAACTATGAAAATAAACAAGAGAAATGTCGGCTAATGTTTGTTTTGACAATTTGACAAACTCTGGTTTATCTGTTGTTCATCCAATTTTAACAGTGCTGCAACAAAGCAAAATTCAGTACTTGTTCCCTCTGTATACAGGCACTGAAATAAACAAAATGAACTCTGCTGGATTAGCATAGATGTAACTACATTTGCTCTCTATATATACATTGGGGAATGTGTGGATTCAAGATCCCATGATGAGTAAGGTTATATTCTGGACTATGGTTTAAACTGGCCAATAAAACAATTTTTGTATCCAAAATTGAGTCTTCTTTCTGAAATAGTTGGGGAATTTGATGCACATAGTTATATTCATTATTGCTTTAAAAACTGAAGTCCAGGCATTAAGGAGGACTCACAAAGCTTTAAATATCTTGGTTCCCTCCAAGCTGAGAAATCATTTTTCACCAATGTTCTACTACAACCTTTAAAGTGGATCAAGATGCTTGATCCACTGTAATGCACTCTATATGGGGCTGAATTTGAAAAGTGCTTGGAAACTTCAGTTGGTCCAAAGAGCAACAGCCAGACTGCTAACTGGAGTTGGCTAAAGGGAATATACAACTCCTCTGTTGCAACAGCTCTACAGGTTGCTAATATGTTTCCAAGCACAATTCAAAGTGCTGATTTTGACCTACAAAGCCCTATATTGCTCCGGTCCAGGTTATCTGAAGGACCGCATCTCTTTCTATGAACCTGAGAGATATCTATGATCTACTGGAGAAGGCCTTCTCTTTGCCCCACCACCTACTCAAGTGCGCTTGATGGGAACATGGGAGACGGCCTTTTTGGTGGCTACCCCTAGGCTGTGGAACTTCCTCCCAAAAGAGACTAGAATGGCCCAATCCTTGCCAGCCTTCCTTCCATAAGCAGGTCAAGACCAACTTCTGCCAAGAGGCTTTTGGGGAAGGGTAAGGGGAGGCTCTGCAGAGGGTGGGTGGGATTGGGGGGGAGGAGGTATGAGTTTTAAAGGCCATTTTAATGTATTTGCTGCATTGTAATTCTGTTTTTACCATACTGCTATTATTTAATTGTTTTTTAAACTTTTTATTGCTTTTTTCAACTGTTTAGTGCGTATAGATGTTAGCTGCCTTGAGTCCTCATGGGAAGAAAGGCAGGATATTATTATTATTATTATTAATAATAATAATAATAATAAATTGATGAATGCGCTAAAGGAGGCCTTTAGTAATGAGAACCATAACTTTGAAGTTTCATTCCCTGTAGAAGATTTTGAGCTGATACATCCTTCAGAAGCAATGTAAGATGAATCTGCTGAACCCAGTTTTTGACCCAAGCTTACTATCTCCTGTCTCAAGTCTTTGAATGACTAAAGATGGCCTTAGTGTTCAATACCTATGGCTGCTGGAATAAACAGCTAATGCATTATAAAATACAGGTCAGCACAACAAAAGGAATCCAGGACACTGCATGCAATATATTTGTGTTGAGTATGATAGCTTTATTGGCACTGTGGGTTTTCACTGTAATTAGTCCCATTGGATCTAAGTTTATTCTATAATATATTCTTTTTCCCTCTCCACCCCCGTCCATTCAGAGCACTGTATCTAATGGCATCTATGGAATGACATGGAGTATTGACTTATTTTTGGAGCATGCCTGGTCGGATACAGACTGGCAGCTGACCAAGTATACTGTGATTAAACCAATCACTACACCCTTCATGCCACGAATACCAACTGTAGCCAATAGTAAGTTGGAGCAGCAAAGGTGCAAAATTAAATGCAAGATGTATTGTAAAAAAATCATCTATCTCTCACAAAAGCAAGACCTCTGGAAGACCCATGAAAGCTATTCCTTTATTGAAAATCTGTTTCTGGTCTGTTTTAAAGAAATAAGAAGCAGAGACTAGATGTTTCTCTGTAGACAATAATATCTGAAAGTATTTAAAGAATATTCTTCTTTTTACAAGGAAAATGTTTACTAGCAGATATTGTGTTGTTTATAATTGTAGATTTAGTTCATGTATAACAGAAAATACATAGTTCAGTCTATAGGAAAAAAACATACTCTTCCCTCAAAACATTGTTAAATTGAGGTTATTGTATTGGGAGATGAGTTGGAGGTGATTGTATATGAATTTATCTTTAAAAGTATAGTTGTAAACAAAGCCTTCCATAAATAACTGTGTTATAACATTGCTTGAACACTTTTCTATTGACAAAACACCATATTCTTTATAGACACCATTCCAGAAACACGAGTGTTTGATGTCATGTTGGGAGTCTTCCTTCCTGATGTCACTCTGGTAATGCTTACAATAGGAGGAATACCTTTCACTCTCAAAGAAGCTGAGCAAAGGGGCTTCAAGATCTCAGACATTTCTTTCCGCACTGGAATGAAGGGCTTTAAACTGGAAGTACCTTTTGATGACCCCATTGTTCAAAAAGAGGTAAGGCAATTGGGACCCTAGCTTTAAAATATTCTTGTTGTAAAAGTCATAGTATATATGTGGTCCCAAAGTTAGGGGTGCATTGAACAGGGAAGCTACAGAAGTGTTCTGTTGGTGTCAACTTATGCATGTATTGCTCTTTCTTATCACACAATTATAATTATATATTTTACAACCATGTTTGGAGTTTGCAATTTGGTTGAGGCACCTCTCCTTATACTGTAAATCTCATGGTTCCATATAGGCCTGTAGCGAGGGGGGGGGTGTTAGGGGTTCAACCCCCCCCCCCCGAAATGTTTCAGATTTTTTTTAAAAAAACCTGGTTTACTCATGAATTTTAACTGGTTAACCAAATCCCCATGCTGTCTATGAGATGCAAAAAATTAAGAGTCCCTCCAGAACTGCAAGCACTATCTCAAGCAAATATTGACAATTTATTCACACTGTCATTACTTGCAGCAATAGCCGATGTAGCGAAGCAACCAAGTTGGGCGTGTGTGTGTTGAATGCTCTCATTAAGGAGGCCAGACTTGGTGGAGGTGGTTGACAGGGGCGGAGCTGCAGGCTATTGAAGGCTGCTCTGCCCCCTGCTGTGCTCTTTGCTTCAGCGTGAGCTAGGAGGCAGGTTTCAACACCACCACCCCCCCCCCCAAATTTCAACCCCTCCCAAAAAAAATTTCTGGCTACGGCCCTGGTTCCATAGGATGTTGCCATAGAAGCTAAAGTGGAATCATAGTGGTAATTATGTAGTTTAAAAGGGAAGAAGGATAAGCTTAGGATTAATTCAATATAAATGCAAACAATTTACTTCACATAAATATTTTGCTATATTTAATTAACTTGATTCAGCAAATATGCATGTGTTTGACAACTCATGATAGTGAAAATGTTAATGGACAACAAGAGATCACTACATGGTTAGCCTTTCTTGGACTTAGGCCTAACGGGTGCCCATTCTGGAATGCAGAAATTTTCCCCATGAAGAGTTCTGGTTTTTGTTGTTTACCCATCCTGGTGGCCTATAGATAGAATTGTAGAATCCTAGAGTTGGAGGAGACCTCATGGGCCATCCAGTCCAACCCCCTGCCAAGAAGCAGGAAAATCACATTCAAAGCACCCCCGATAGACGACACTCTTGATGCCACAACTTCCATCAACTCCAGCCAGAACGGCTAATGGAGGTGATGAAAATGTAGTGTAATGTATAATGGGAAATGCTTTTACCAATGAACCTCTCATTTCTAAAAATCCTGCATAGCTGAATATTTCCAAAAAGTTTCTCCTCTTGAAGGAGACATGTGCAAAATATCAATGCCTTGAATGTTGCGTAAACTAGTAGAAGACAGTCTGATAGATAGGGTCTTATTGTTTCTGTACTTCCAAAATGACACGGCATACACAAGATCTTTTTAAGAATATCACCAATGAAAAAAAGAAAACCTGAAATCCTTTTTGTTCTTCTTGTGTGTCTTGAAGCCATTTCTGACTTATGATGAATCTATAATGCATTTCCTTGGCAAGATTTGTTCAGAGTGGGGTTGCCATTACATTTCTCTGAGGCTGAGAGAGCTTGCCTTACCCAGCATGATGCTCATTTGTCAAATTCATGTTTTTAAATTTGTTTTAAAGTATGTGAACAAGAATGAAACTAAATATAACCTGCGTGTGAACTACACACTGAATGTAGGCCCTGAGAAGAAGCTGTACCATCATTTTGCAGACATAGAGTGTATAATTGCAGATATTGGTAAGTTTCTCATAACTGTTGTTCATATCGATCTCTCACTGATGGCAATTTCTGATGATATATTGTTGTTGTTGCACCTCAGTAAGGCAGACAACTTGACCCAATGAAATTTGAATAGAATTATAAACCTCAGTCCAAACTTAAATGATATAATGTCATAAATATACCAACTTCTTTAAATAAGAGACAAATATTACTTCTTAATGACAGTATTTAGGCAAAATCACCCAACTGTAGAGTAAGAATCCCCATTCATTTGTCGAGAGACCCTCTCACTTGAAATTCACATTTCCAAATTTAGGGGGCTTTAGATGTTGTTGGATTTGTGTTTCCATCATCTCCATCTGGTGGCAATCAAACAATTTCTGGTCGGCCACATGTTTCCATCCCCCATTATAGTTATTGGACCCACTATATCCTAAAGCATAGAGTCCATTTTAAAATGTCTTCCGTCAGGCCCGTAGCCAGGATTTCGTTTCGGGGGGGGGGGGGGGTGATTTTTTTTCAGGGGGCGGGGGGGGGCTGAGTCTGAGTGAAAGAGGGTCTACCTAGCAAACCTTTTGTATCATTACCCCAATACCCCCATGCATATGGGATATATTGAGCATGGTGATCAGATCATGATATGAATAACATAACAGTTTAAATAATGCACCAGTAAGGCCTTTTCGCAGACCACCATGAGAATTTCGGGAGGGGCTGAAGCCCCTCCCCCCCCCCCCCCCCCCGGCTACATGCCTGTCTTCCGTTATATGTCTGTGTGACTCTCATTTATTTCTCAAATACTTTTGCTAGCAATGGTGCATCTGGTCATGAAAACTGTCTGGCACATAACCCAGAATTAGGTCATGTTTAGAACCATCAGTTGAAGACAAGTGATATCATTCACCTTTGAACTAACAATCAGAGGTTACAAATACAATTACAATTACAGATAAAATTATTATTAATTATAGAGGTCCTCTCACTTGAAATTCACGTTTCCAAATTTAAGGGGCCCAAAATTAAAAGATCTCAAATTTTTATTTAGAGAGAGACACATCTATTCTGGAAATCTTATTTCATTACTTCTCTCCTTTTTCTTCCACAGTACTACCAGAAGGCACTGGATATTGTGACAAAATGAACATGTATTTAGCACTTCCAACTAAAGACATTTACAAATATTGGAATCTCTATGTAGGCAATAGGCCTCTAAATCAGGCTACTGCCTTTTCAGATGGCTACTATCTCACTACAAATGATACTCATCTTGTATTACAAGTGCCTGCCTTTGCTCCTGGGATTATCTATGAGGTACATTTTCTTACTCTTCCAGTTGAGGAACATGCTTAGGAAAAGGAACCTGTACAAGCCTTACCACAGTACAATTGACCCTCTACATTTTCAGGTTTAACTTCTGTGGATTGGATTAATATGCTCTCTCTTTGAATCGCTAGTTCCCCCAGCATGACTTAATGGTCACCTTCAAGCAGCTGTTGACCATAGAATTATGCTAAAAGATATAGTGGTTCCTTAAAAAAATACTTTTCTAGGCATTTGTAGGACCTTTGGTGCAAAAATGTGTTTTTTTAATTCACATTTTCCACACTTTCAGTCTACCCAAGATCGTTGTTCTTCTATAACTCCACTCTCCCATCTGCCCCATGTTCTACAACAGATATTGATAAGGAACTATGTGGTCTTTTTTAATGGATGGGCTGAAATGGGGCAGATAATGGAAGACATTTTGGTATCCTGTGCCAATGGTTTTACTGATTTCAACTATCTACACTAGATCTCCATACAATTTTGAACCTAAGTCTAACTACACCTAGACTCCACAATATACACACTGTACCAATCTGTCCCACTATTAGTGAGTTATGTTCACGGATATTGAGAAGTTATATTTGGAGGAAATGCTTAGCTGTGTTCAGGAATTGAACCCATATGTGAAGAAGTGGATAGGGGAAAAGTGTTACTAACTATATGCCAAAGTGATGGCACATATAAACTATGGTGTTTGAATGTCATAGGTTCAAAGGATTATAAATATTTATCTCAATACCCAGACTGAGTGAAACTGGTAGACAGAACTGCTAGTTTTCTCCAACATTTCACTTCCTCTGTGACTTTTCTGTACATTATTAGCTATGTTGGGTCTTTACTGGATTTTAATGCAAAGGGTAGATAGGAAAGTAGATCTAGTAAAATATATCCTTTTTATTCTATAGAACTGGTATGTGAAGTGTCACATGTTGGACCATTTTAAAACAAGGAAATGCATAGCTAATGTCTTAATAGTTTCAAGAAATGTTTAAATGAGAAACTATGTTTAACACATATGTGACCCTTGTGATTTTAAAGGAAGTGTCATTTGAAAGAATCCAAGCTAGATTTGACCTTACCCTGAAGAAAATAACCACTATGGAGACTGTGAATATCTTTTCAATCAGGTGTAGTTTCTACTTCCTAGAATTTGTAGGTGAGTTGTATCCACTGCCAGTTCAGAGGGTAATATGGGAGATAGCTTGTGTCTTCATCGTACCATCATTATCTTCTTCCAGTATGCTATCCTAATGGGATAATGACTGTATCTGCTGTTATGAGGACAGTTCCATCTATTGACATGAGCAAAACAAGACTGAAGGACAGGACATGTAAGCCAAAAGAGTTTACCAAAGAACGAGCCTTCTTCCAGTTTCACGTTTCCACCTGTGGGACTTTGGTGAAGGTGGGTAATTAGGAAGAGAGATTTGGAAAAAGAAAGATGGGAGGTCTCTTCAAGCATGTTGGGTCTGAATTGTTTTTCCCCAATACAGTTTGAAGGTGACCATCTTATTTATGAAAATGAAATATCCTTTGAAAGAGGGATTCTTCCAGTACAGGGACAACCAATTATCACAAGAGATCCAGGATACAGGTAAGAGCAGCAAGATTGGTACTATTTTCATGTTTGGAAGTCCGTACAAACTAAAAGCCTCCTTCTGTTCCAGACTAACTGTATTGTGCTACTACTCAATTAAAGAGACACTAACACAAAGAGCTACTATATTTGGCTCTGCATCTGAAATATCTCAATCTTCTGGCTTTGGGCCAATAATGACTAGGCCAAACATTGCAGGTAGGTAACTTTGGCAAGTGCAAACATTTATGAGCATATTGTTTTATTCTTAAAACGTTTTGATAAGAAAGTAAATGTAATTTTTTTTTCTTTTTATAGGCCATAGACGAGTGAGACAAGCACTGAATGTAATTGCAAACATGTTCATGGGTAAGATTATCCTAAAGGGGTATGAAAACTATTCTAAACCAAAAGATTGATATTAGACCTTTATACCAGAGGTGTCGTGAAAATCATACAACCCTCCAGCTGTTGTTGGACTACAACTCCTAACAGTCCCAGTGAACATAATTAATGGTGAAGAATGTTGAGAGTTATACTCTGGTCATTTACAAAGGATCATGTGATTCCCACACAGATTTATATTCAATACCCAAAACTTTCTTCTCCCAACTTTCAACTTGCAGATGACTCTTTCACAGAAACTTATGGTAAACATTCAATACCATCTATAGACTTATGGGAGCCTGTGTTTCTTGAAGTTCAACTAAAAGATGAAGCTCCTGGTACTGAACTATACTTTGATAATTGTTGGATAACTGAGTCTGAAGAGTTCAACAGTATTTCTCAGTGGAAATTCATTTCAAATGGGCAAGTAGAACTGTGTACTTATCTGAAATCATGATAACCAAGTGAAGTTTATCTCAAATGAACAAGTGATAAGTAATCATCTTCTCTCCCCTCTCCAACAGATGTGCGGACCAAACCAATGGGTTTGTGAAGTTCTACCCAGTGTTTAAAAACAACAGAGTGAAATATCCTAAGCATTTCAAAAGAGTGGGAATTCATATATTGAATCTTCCTCTGAGAAAGGTATAATCCAAGTGAGGAAGCTGGGAATTGAAAATATGGCTGTGTGGTATATTCTCCACATCTGAATGCATCCACAATTGATAGACACTTTAAGGGTTTTGACTTTCTCAAATGTTCATAAAGTAGGTGAATAATGCCTGATAGTTGGTACTTCTTCATAGAAGTATCCTACTATTATCACTCACATGGAATTGTACAGCTATTCTTTTTCTTCTTTTTTGCTGTTATACTTAAAAAAATGAAAGAAGTAGGAGGCATGATACAGGATTTAGGTGAAGACAATGTTTCTTAATACCCCACCCTTGAAATTCAGTCTAGGGGATAAGACAACTTCATATTAAAAGGCTCATTGGAAAACATGATGAGTAGTATTACACTTCAGGTGTTTCAGGATTCCATTATAAATGAATAAAAAACCCATGTAAGCTTGATGTAGAGTAGAAGTCACAGAAATGGTACTCATGAAATGATAGAACTATTAAAAGTACTGATGTAGACTGAACAGAATTAGAAACCTTGGCAACTCTCTAACAAAAATTATTGTCCTTATTGGCAATGTTTGGGAGACTTTTCTTTTAAAACCGTAAGTGATGTAGATACTAAACCTTGAGTGGACCAACAGTAGACTCATGAAGTTAAACCCAGTCTAATAGAAATGTAGTAAACCTGGTATGATTGCCTGTCTCCTTCCTTAGACTACAAAAGAAGATTGTGAAGCATCTGGCAAGCCACAATATATGGCTAGCCAACAATGAGAAAAGAACTCTACTTTCCATAGCACTGGTTGGAAATGTCTTCCATTGAAGCAGTCCTCCCAAAATGCCAGCATTTAGCATGTTGCTGCCTCCAACATGGAAAGAAAAAAATTTGTACTCCCGCACCACTAAACAAAACTGGCAGGCCAACTTTTCTTATTAAAGCCTTTTGAATGCAACAAAATCATTTCCCCATAATACTAAAACATATTAAATATGCCTATCAGTATTTAGGGGACAGAAAAGGTTAGAGAGATTTTCTTATCATATTTTACAATGACTTATTGAAGGATCTTTCTGTTTTCTCTTCTCTACATCCCATCTCCAACTCTTCTGTAGGTATACTTCCACTGCACAGTTACAGTCAATAATTCTCCTTGTGTGCCTCTTAATGGTCTTCTCTGCAAACAATGTGGCTTTGGAAGGAACCTTGGTAGGTGTTTCAGTGAAAACTGTAAACATGACATCTATCCATTGACTACTAGATCTTAATAAATTGTCAGGTGGTTTGCCTTATCCCCTTAATCATTGTATAGTTTAAATACTGAGAACAAGTAGTTCTCAACAACCACTTTAGCAAATGTCTGTGCCTTAATTTTATAGATATCTAACTGATATTCTTTATAATACTTCAGATCACCATTCTGAAACTCTTCCTATTAATCATGGTTATGTTGTGGCTGGACCAGTCTTGATTCTTCGTCGTGAATAAATTAAGGAGATGGATATGCACAAAAGTTGGGTAGGTTTCAGAACTGAATTAACAAGAGTATAAGAACTGCTGTGTGCTTTGTCTTATCAAGAATAATACCCTATGTTACACTCACTGCTGCACTTACATCCCAGGTTCATTTGTACCACCTGGTTTTGCTGGATCTCTTAAAAAATAGAGAACTCTGCTGCATGATTTCTGTCTTTAGCCATAACAAAAATGTATTTTGTCTTGTGGGCACCCACAAAGAAATATTTCCTTTCTCTTTCAGATGTAGCTAGACAATTCTACTTGCTGCAGTTGGATTCTGGATTCCCAAGATTGGACTGCTTTAAATGTACACATCACATTAGCTTCCTATACTATCAGATCTCTATAAATTAAAAACAAGAAGTGTAAACCATGACTTTGAGGCTTAAAACTTTCCATAATTACAGAAGCTTTTTGAAGAAAACGTTTTACCTGAGGAGGAGGGAGGGTACTTTTCTTCAAACTGGACCACGACAATATCAGCAGAGCAACCTGAGATTAACACCAGTGGACAAGCAAAGAATAGTTCCTTTCTTGTCTAAGATCATTGAGTTAGCCTTTTAGTTAAGCCATTACCTCTCAAACTACGTAAGCTCCCATATGGACAAAAGTAGAAACTAATGCGTAATATGATTGCTCTTTGGGTAGAAATAACCAAACCTTTCCTACACATAAGAAATCTACTTATTTCTAGAAGTATTATTACATTCCTCTTTATTCACTCATTGGTACAACAACATGGAAAGTCTTTTTGAGTCCGCAAATAAAATTTCTGTGACCATCCATATCTGCCATTTTACAACACCAATATTATTTTACTCCCTTCTCAATCAAGACAAAGTTCAGAAAACTAAGTTTGTTGTATCTTCTCCCATGAGAACGCAACCCACCCACAAAATAAAGCAAAGCCATTCATAATGCAATGAAGCACTCTGGCTAGACAGCTATAATAAAATTACTAGACAAATATAATCTCATAGAGTGATATAATGGGGGGAAAGATCAAATAGGGCATGATATATTCCAACTGAACAAATGACAAGGATTTGTGCTTGTGTGTGAAATGCAGAAAACCACCTGCTTTATTTACTAGTGTTTCAGCTTTACTGCTAGGAAATCCATGGAAAGTCCTGCAACATACTCATGTCTGAAATAATCCCAGCCAAGGGATGGTCTGCCAGCCTTCCATACTAAACAACTGCTGCCAAAAATATTGGGTCATCCCCAAAACTGAAAAGTACTGCCAATTTTGTTTTCATATATCCAATAATCTAATGGCTGGACAGTCTTACGAAGATGTAATCTTCACACTGACCTATCAAAAATTTTGAAAAAAAAACTTTCTCCAGACAATTGTCTGCCTCTGACATTTGGCAGGTTCATTTCAGATGGGAATTATTTACTCTCCTCTGCCCTTTCCCTATTACTTAGTTTTATGCACCAGTTACCTTCAGTTTCACATGGAAGAGCAGATGTTCCTTGGTAGCTGCATTTGCTTAGTTGAGGAGACACATTTTGGTCTGAATTTTCCCTATCCCTGTTCTAATATTATGACAATGAAGGAGCATGTAATCTGAAAGTATATCTTACAATTATGAATACCCTCTTCTACAAACTAAATTTCATATTCATGTATATGCTTGTGCTGGAAAACTCTTTACAGTCTGGACTTTGGTCGTCTGTCCAATATTGTGGACCAGATATTGTGAGTTAAGTATCACAATAAATACTGGTCTTTATGGTATTTTTTCATGTAATATAAAGTGATCTGAGACATAGTTTTCCTTGTGGTTAATGCAGTACTAAAATCTCTGTTTTGAGTAGTTCTTTGACATTCTCTAATAATTAGGTATGTCTTAAACCTGTATTTTCCAACATGTATAAAACTTCCAAAGTTCAGATAATTTCCTGTTACTTAGACCTGTAGACAAGCAAAGATTCACATGATCCAAGTTTTGGAAGCCACCCTGAGTCCCCCGGGGAGAGAGGGCAGGTTAGAAATTATATATCTATACCTATAAAAGGTATCAGAGATAGAATGATGGTTCAGCCACTGATAGACTCTAGTCAGAATAACACATAAATATATAAATGTATCTTGGCTGGATGATGATGTTAAGGCCAAAAGCACTGATGCGCTTCATATAAAACCTTTTGAAAAAAGACAAGACATCTGGTTCAATCTTTCATTTCTTTTTTTACAGCAATTAAAATGTTCATGTTGGGTAACAAACAACTTCATGGATTTCACTAATTCACTATTAGCATTTTTTTAGCTTCATTCAACTTAAAACGTTTAATATAAAACAATGAGTAGAATTTGTGAAGGTCCATATGGTTTTACAAAGTCCATAATAAGAACAGGCAATGTCTCAAAAAAAACTTATGAGGTTTTGAGGAATTAGGTAAGGAAAACTGTATCATTGTTTTGCCAGGAAATCCAATTCCCAGTTTTAAAAAAATCAGTAGTAGCAGAGTTTTAGTAGTTCCTTTTTATTTTTTCTTCTTTATCGTGAATAGTCTGTTTTAAACTCAAAGCAGCATCTTCAAAGTTGGGATTTAGATCTAAAACCTTCTTGAAATCCCTCAGTGCTTCATCAAAGAATCCTGTCTCAAAAAAGAAGAGAAAAAGAGGTTTGTCTTAATGTACATAGAAGAATAGTGAGTGATATGTACTTTCTTCTGTAATGTCTTTTTGCATTGTAATCTTACATTCACTTAGTAGGGAATAAGCCCAATTAAAAAGACCAAAATTTACTTTTGGATATAGCAGTTTTGAGTATACCAGTGTTTCTCAACTCGTGGGTCTCCAGGTGTTTTGGCCTACAACTCCCAGAAATCCCAGCCAGTTTACCAGCTGTTAGGATTTCTGGGAGTTGAGGGACCCATGGGATGAGAACCACAGATATATAGTATTGCAGTATTACTCTCTCACATAAAAGTACTGCTACATTTCATTATTTTTTCATCCTTTCACCCAATTCAGAGAATATTGGCTGCCCTACACCTTTCAGGACTGAACAACTAAATAAATAGCATGCTACCACACACAGGAGATTTGGAGGGGGAAAATAATATATGAAATGTCCATCACGCGTATGGAGAAAAAAAATGATGGTTTACAATAAAGAATTTTAGAAGAGAGCTTCCTCAACACTCCCAGTATATATACTCACAGTGTATAGTCAGGGGAGCATCAGACTAGGTTTATAGAGCATCTACTTATAGGTTTATAGCGCATGTCACATAGAACAAAGAAACCTCAAAAATTAGCTTCAAACTATTTAGAAAAGTTTACTATTAAAGGTCTAAGGCACTAGATCCCATTTGATGCAGTCAGCCCTGGTTAGTATTTGGATGGGGGACTGCCAATGAATATCAGGTAAGGTAGGCTATATTTCAGGAAGGAACATCCTCGACTATTCGTTAATAAAATACTATCAAATTCATGAAGTTACCCTATCTCAACAGGTGGCTTTAGGGGACACAAGACCCAATAAAGAAAGATACCCTTGTAAACCAAAACTTTATAAGCCACTCATAGAGAGTAACCTGTCTGAACTTAAATAACTAGCATATATACCCAGCATTGCCCTCCTGCTTCCTTCCTTCTCCAGCTCTGAGAAGGCCTACCTGACTCTATGACAACACTCTGACAACTCTCTTTGGTTTAGGCTGTTTTTGTGGCTCGTTCTTTTCTTTCTCCTTTTCTTTCATACACATTCTCCCTCTGTCTTCCTTCGTTTCTCTTTTCCTTGCTTTCATGCATACACCTCCCCCCCTTTTTCTTTCCCTTCTCTTCATTTATTTCTCTTCCCTTGTCTCCCTTCCTCCCTTCTTTCTTTCCTTTCTCTTCAAGGGGCTGTGGTAGCACATCAGGTTAAACCACTAGCTGCAGGAAAGCTGCTGACCGGAAAGTCGGCCATTCGAAGCCGCGAGTTGGGGTGAGCTCCTGACTGCCAGCCCTAGCTTCTGCTTACCTAGCATTTAGAAAGCATGCAATATGAGATCAATAGGTATCAGTGGGAAGGTAAAGGGGCGCTCTATGCAAATATGCAGACATGCCGGCAATACAATAGGAGAGGTCTATGGACAACAGGCTCCTCGACATGGAAAAATGGAACAATGGCCGAAGTTGAGCATCACGTCCAGATGCCAGAGATGGAAAAAATAGGAGGGCCTTTACCTTTGTCTGTATTGTATGTTGTTGTTCACTATTGTGTAAAAAGAGATTTAATGCTTGCCTCATATGTGTATTTCAATCTGCTCTGAGTCCCTCCAGGATATAAAGTGGAATATAAATACAGTGTATTCCCTTCTTTATCTTTCTTTCCTCCCCTCCTCTCATGTTTTCCCCTTTCCTTTTTATTTCATCCTTGCCTCTTCTTTCCCCCTTCTTACTTCCTTCCCCTCATGCATGTGTCGCCTAACAGCAGCCAAGGCACTTCATTTCCTTTCTTTCCCAATGACATCACAGAGAGTCACTTAACACAGCCACAGCCAAACAACTGTTTCTTCTCTTTCCCTCTGTTTTGGGCCCAAATGGGGTGTTTGTTTCGTTCAAACCCCTCAATGATTTTAAATAGGATAGTGAAGAGTAGTGTGCCAAGTTTGGTCCAGATTCATCAAGCTATGGAGGAGCCTTTTGTGGTACCAACCAACCAACCACATACATGGATACTTTGACATATATCCATATATATTAAAGCAACCACAATTTACATATCCAATAGAAATACTTCCATACCTAGCCTATACAATATTAAGCCTCTGTTATAATATGGGACTTCGAAATCAGGTTGGGCTTCTATAGCGGCTGTATAATCATCCATTGCTTCATAGAAGTCAACTCTCAAGTACTTTATCTGCCCCCTGTTGTTAAGTGCTGTTGCGAGATCGTGGCAGGAGCTCTTGCTAAAGACAAAGAGGAGAGGAGACAGTTAATACACAGTTTTGGTGGATAAGATATATTCAAGCCAAGGATGACTGAATTCCTTGATGTAGAATCTGCGGATATGGAGGGCAGTTGCTAGGGCTAAGTTGCATCTGTCTAGCCACAACTGCCCACCTGTCCTATAATTGGAAATGACAACCTTCGTCAAGCCTTCTCTAGTAATGTTTTTCCATGATCCTGTTGCTTAATATCTCCTATGTGTATGTTCTGGTATGCAGCTTCCTTTACTCTATGGTTCCTGAGAAGTGATAAAAGGGGCTGCAGACCACATGATCACAACAGATACACTACAGACTGACTACTTCATACCTCAGATCGCACACTTGCTTGCTGTTTAGCTGCAAGAGATTCTCTGACTGGATGACACAGAATTATTTCAAACATATCTGAAACTAGACTGATAACTTTTGTACCTGTGTATGCTGAATACATGAAAGTTGTGAGTAAACCAAATATGTTTTTTTTTATCAAAGTCTACTTCATTTTTGTCTCTTGACTGCATGATATAAAACACTTTGTTTTATGGGAGAGTATATATATTTATATATTTAAGGAGCCCCTGGTGGCACAGTAGGTTAAAGCGCTGAGCTGCTGACCTTGCTGACCAAAAGGTCGCAGGTTCAATTCTGGGGAGCGGCGTGAGCTCCCACTGCCAGCCCCAGCTTCTGTCAATCTAGCAGTTCGAAAACATGCAAATGTGAGTAGATCAATAGGTACCGCTCCAGCAGGAAGGTAATGGTGCTCCATGCAGTCATGCCGGCCACATGGCCTTAGAGGTGTCTATAGACAATGCCGGCTCTTCGGCTTAGAAATGGAGATGAGCATCACCTCCCAGTGTCGAACACAACTGGACTCAATGTCATGGGAAAACTTTGACCTTTATATATATATTGGCCACCGAAAGACACTAAAGCTCTACTGTTTTTATGCACTGACAAATCTCTGTTTTGCTAACAGAGCAGAGATAACAAGTTATTCAATCTAACAACTGAAACCATTGCCTGGAATTATTATATCTGGTTGTATACAAGAGAAGATTCTACTCTAAAGGGTTTTTGGCTTTTCCATGAAAGATCATGCTTTTCTTTAAAAGTTTGCTATTTTTAAAAAAATAAATAAACATAAAAGATCTCCTTTCTAGGCATTATACTGAAATCATAGCAACAAGTGCCTTCTGTGATGTATGTCTCCCTTTTGGTTTTTGCATCACCAATGCACAGAATCATAGAGTTGGAAGAGACCTCATGGGCCATCCATGAGACCTCATGCCAAGAAGCAGGAAAATTGCATTTGAAGCAACCCTGACATATGGCCATCCAGACTCTGCTTAAAAGCCTCCAAAGAAGGATCCTCCGCCACACTCCGGGGCTGAGAGTTCCACTGCTGAACAGCTCTCAGAGTCAGGGAGTTCTTCCTAATGTTCAGGTGGCATCTCCTTTCCTGTAGTTTGAAGCCATTGTTCTGTGTCCCAGTCTCCAGGGCAGGAGAAAACAAGCTTGCCCCCTCCTCCCTATGACTTACCCTCACATATTTATACTTTGTTGTTGTTGGGGTTTTTTACTATTTATATATGTGTTTTTCCTTTGATTAATGAAATCATTACTTATATATGCTGATAGATAGGCCCACCAAGTTTCTGAATCCCATTTTGTATCATCTCTCAAGTATATAAATAGTCAAATAGAACAAGACTGGTTCAGGAAATGGTCTGTGCTAATTGACAAAATAGACGGAGACGATAGATATAGCACTTTGAACCAGGCTTTCCACACAGTTAAACTGATGCAACGACATCATTTAGAATTGCTAAATGGGAATGGGGGGAGGGTGGCGGTGATGGGTGATACATAATTAAGGAATGTATAAAATGTCATTTAAGGAATATTTACTTTTGGAATAATGTATAATGAATTAATTCCTGTATGGCAAAAGTTTGTTAACTGTTGGGATGTATCGCAGTGAGTTAAACCCAGCAGGATTGAAGATCGACAGGTCGCAGGTTCAAATCCGGGGAGAGGTGGATGAGCTTCCTCTATCAGCTCCAGCTCCTCATGCGGGGACATGAGAGAAGCCTCCCACAAGGATGATAAAAACATCAAAAATCATCTGGGTGTCCCCTGGGCAACGTCCTCGCAGACGGCCAATTCTCTCATACCAGAAGCGACTTGCGGTTTCTCAAGTCGAGTCTGACATGACAAATAAAATAAAATTTATAACTGTTAAAAAAACATGGCCCTCATCATGTCTCCTCTCAGCCTTCTTTTTAAAAACATATTTATACATGGCCCTCATCATGTCTCCTCTCAGCCTTCTCTTCTGAAAGCTAAACATGCCCAGCTCTTTAAGCCGCTCCTCATAGGGCTTGTTCTCCAGACCCTTGATCATTGTAGTCGCCCTCCTCTGGACACATTCCAGCTTGCACAGGATTCATTCAAAAGGAAAGCTTGCAAAAGCTACTCCTGACAGTTTAAGACATATAACTATAATATTTTTTTAAAACCCATCTTAATTTCTTTCATCACCCCCCCCCCCCAGAGTCCGACTCCCCTATTTGGTTTAAACCAAACAACCCCCACTCCTCCCAACACATGGACTCGCCTCCTTCCGGCGCATGCGCACTGGTCGATATAGCGGCTGTAGAGCTCTTCTGCTTTCTCAAAGCGCTGCTCCTGGAAATTTGTCTCCGCCGCAGACAGCAAGTCTGACGCTGCTTCATCTGCTAGATCTGGATCCATTGTGGGCTTTTTCAAATGCTGTTTGGAGGCAGAAAGAGGAGACAACCCAGCAGCAGAGCCCAAACCTCCAACCAGGTACCAAGATTTCCCTCTTCCTCGTATGTGACGTCAATGAGAACGCCCCGCCCACAGCTGATACAATAGAATAGCCAGACTATTTTCAACTTTCGGGTTCTAAATACGCATGCGCATTGCAAGAGCGTGGTGTGCGTACCCTGTCCCTTTAATTGCCATGGCTATGGAATGATCGGATTTGTAATTGGAGAGGCACCAGCAGGGGGCAGAGAAGGCGAAAGTCCTTGTAAAACTACAATCCCCATGGCTCCATAGCATTCAGCCCATGGCCGTTTAAAAGGGTGTCAAACTGCATTAATTCTACAGTGTTGATGCAGTTTCTGTGCTTGGCTTCCATGCAGAATCATAGAATCATAGAGTTGGAAGAGATCTCTTGGGCCATCCAGTCCAACCTCCTGCCAAGAAGCAGGAATATTGCATTCAAAGCACCCCCAACAGATGGCCATCCAGCCTCTGTTTAAAAGCCTCCAAAGAAGGAGACTTCACCACACTCCAGGGCAGAGAGTTCCACTGCTGAACGGCTCTCACAGTCAGGAAGTTCTTCCTAATGTTCAGATGGAATCTCCTCTCTTGTAGTTTGAAGCCATTGTTCCACGTCCTAGTCTCCAAGGAAGCAGAAAACAAGCTTGCTCCCTCCTCCCTGTGGCTTCCTCTCACATGGTATTTATCATGTCTCCTCTCAGCCTTCTCTTCTTCAGGCTGAACATGCCCAGCTCTTTAAGCTGCTCCTCATAGGGCTTGTTCTCCAGACCCTTGATCATTTTAGTCGCCCTCCTCTGGACACATTCCAGCTTGTCAATATCTCTCTTCAATTGTGGTGCCCAGAATTGGACACAATATTCCAGGTGTGATCTAACCAAGGAAGAATAGAGCATGGGTAGCATTACTTCCCTAGATCTAGACACTATGCTCCTATTGATGCAGGCCAAAATTCCATTGGCTTTTTTTGCTGCCGCATCACATTGTTGACTCGTGTTTAACTTCTTGTCCACAAGGACCCCAAGATCTTTTTCACATGTACTGCTCTCGAGCCATGCCCCCCCCCCCCCACACACACACATTCTGTATCTTGTGTATGTTGGAAACTTCACTTCATCACACTAGAGAAAAAATCCACTTAAAATCAAATTTCTGCCTCCTGCAGAATTCTGGGATTTGTAGTTTAGTGAGGCTGTTAAAGGCTCCTCCCTAAAGTACAAACCCCAGAATTCTACAGGAGACAGAAACTAGATTTTAAGTGGATTTTTTTCTCTAGTGTGATGATTTTCTGAAAAAGATAATTGAGGCCCCTTCCGCACAGCAGAATAAAATCACACATTATCTGCTTTGAACTGGAATATATAACAGTGTGGACTCAGATATCCCAGTTCAAAGCAGGTATTGTGGGATTTTCCGCCTTGATATTCTGGGATATAGGGCTATGTGTGGAAGGGCCCTTAGGATAATACTTCAGGGTTGACGGATTAGTACAGTATTATTATTATTATGTGTATTCATATCCCACCTTCTTTCTCCATACAGACTGAAAGCAGCTCAAAATTACAAGTATTACAATGCAGCTTAAAATATACAATATACAAATATTAAAACAGTATTAAACATAATTAATATTAAAAACACTTCAAGTTAAAATTGCATACAAAGCCACATCACCCTGACTTAAACACATTATTCTCGTACTAATAATCCTAATAATCTTATTAATGAAACTACATGAAACATAATGTAAAAAATAATTGCAAAACCCTGCTAGTGTGCAACATTTACATTCTTAGTTAATGTATCATCAAGATTAATTTAGCTGTATTTCAGTGGGATGCTAGTCATGGTCCAGATCCCATCAATTTCAATGAGAGCTTGGTACAACTAAAGTCCCATCTACACTGCCATATAATGCAGTTTCAAATCTCATTATATGGCAGTATAGATGGGGGCTTACAAAGCTATGGAGTATGTACCCACTCAGGCCAAATGTCAGTGCAAACAATGCACGTTATCTGTTTTGAAGTGGATTATATGAGTCTACACTGCCATATAGGGGCCCACTGATGGCGTGGCAGGTTAAACTGCTGAGCTTCTGAACTTGCTAACTGAAAGGTTGGCAGTTTTAATCCGGGGAGCGAGGTGAGCTCCCACTGTGAGCCCCAGCTCCTACCAATCTATCAGTTCGAAAACATGCAAATGTTAGGAGATCAATAGGTACCTCTTCTGTGGGAAGGTAATGGCACCCCATGCAGTCATGCTGACCACATGACCTTGGAGGCATCTATGGACAACGCCGGCTCTTGAGCTTAGAAATAGAGATGAGCACCACCCCCCAGAGTCAGACTCAACCTGACTTAATGTCCTTTACCTTTTCTTTTTTTTTTACACAGCCATATGACCCAGTTCAAAGCAAATAATCTGGATTTTATATGGCAATGCAGAAGGGGCCTCAGAGAATGCTTAAGTTCATAGGATTTATTTCCAGGGTAAAAACAAACGCTGGTTGAGTGTATCCATTTGAGTAAAAGGGACGTGATACATTACAACTTGAATGATTTTACAGTGAATTTCTCAGCTAAAAATAGTGACATGAATTCAACAAGACTCTTAGGCATTTGACACAGCCTGAGTTCAGTCCTGTTAACACTGAAGTTATTGTGCTATTAATTTCAATGCAGTTTTAAAATAAATTCATAGCCCCACGGAGAAAAGACTAACACACATTTTAGAGGAAGATGCCTCCGCCAGTAATTAGTCTCTGTTCTCATTTGTCCTCCATCCTTTGAGTGCTGAGCCAAAGAAGCCTCAAATGCACTTTGAGCTATAATGGAAAGCACAGTTTGTGAGTCTAAAAAATATCCAAAACAGACATGTACATTACTCTGAAAATAGATTCGTTTGTGAGCTGTTGGGAAACTCAGCATGGCTTCACAGTATCTCCTCAAAGGAACATTGACTTGCCTCCCATAGTTCCACAGCAATGAGCCATGCCAGCTAAACTACATTAATTCCACTGTGTAGATGCTGTGTAGGATAAAATATAATCTTGGAGCCTTCCTCCTCCATGCTCCACTAAAGGCTTCAGAACATAGGGTATCTCTTCATCTTACTTCAGTTGCTACAAATTCAGGTCAAAATGCAAAACTAACTTCAGTCTCCTTCTTAAAATTCAAAAGATTTCAAAAATTGAAACATGTTGTTGCCCCCCATTTCCACCTTTCAAGAAGGGGGGCTAGTTACACATCCAGCTGCTGCAGAGATTTTTTTCAAGGAGCTATCATGCTATCACAATCTGAAATCTGACATAGAAAAAGGGAGCAGGGAAGACCCTGGCTTCTGCTCCTGGACTTACAACAAATTCCTTCTAAAAAGCAGTCATCAAGGGAGGAAAAGGTTCAATGGCTCAGACAATATACTCCATGTACTTGGTCAAACCATATTGTCCTTTCCTTGGGAAGGATGCCCAGAAAATAGGATGCAGACAAGGCATAGATTGACTGGGCAGCTGGAGTTTTGTACCATTCCCTGAGCCCCGTAGCCTCCTATGTATCAAAAACATCCAAAAGTGTTACTCGACTGAATTGAAATGATGTGATGCATGTTGAAAGTAAAACCCATTAAGGACAGCACATTTAGGATATAAGGAGATCATCTTTTCTCAGTATATGTTAACTATAGATTAAAATTCTGTGGGAGAGCGGTTATGGGAGTAATTGAGATTTAGCTCAAATTGTTGCAATACCCCACACAAGTACAGATATGTGAGAGGGACAGTATTAATGTTCAAGGTAGGAGAAAGAACTCTTGTCTGATGGAGGTAGGTGTGAATGTTTCAACTGGCCACCTTCTCCCAGTCTGGACATTCCACAGATATATAAACCCCATTTTCCTAGTTTCCAACACACCTCACAACCTCTGAGGATGCCTGCCATAGATGCAGGTGAAACATCAGGAGAGAATACTTCTGGAACATGGCTATGCAGCCTGAAAAACTTACAGCAAACCAAATATGAAGTACTTTGGCCACATAATGAGAAGACAGGATACATTGAAGAAGATAATGATGCTGAGGAAAATGGAAGGAAAAAGGAAGAGGGGAAGACCAAGGAAAAATGGATGGATATTGTCCTTGAAGTGACTGACTCGACTTTGAAGGAGTTGGAATGGCAACAGCCAACAGGAAGCTCTGGAGATCACAAAGAGTTGGAATTGACTGAATGAATAAGCAACAGAAAAGTGAAACATATTGCAGCTAAATTACTTGGTTTTATGAAACAGCAGCAGAAATGGAACAAAAAGCTATAAATGTGTTTGAAACAGTCAATTTATCACAGAAGATTTAATGGAATTTGGTAGCCCTCTTCTTTATTACACTATATGTTTCCACCTAAGAGACATGGTCATCCACTGGCTCACTAGCTAGCAACCTTAAGGAATACATGTCTGCTTGGCCAACCCCAACTGCATAAATCTCAGTTCCAGAAATTGGATCTCTGGAAGTCACTACTTCTCTCTCAGCCTGAGGACAACTGTTTGTCACAATTATCTCCATCTTGATCATTGTGGGAAGTGTCTATGGTGCCTGCTTCATTAGTGAAAGCATCATCCATGGCAACCTGGATAGCCAGGCCTATCATAGTACCCAGAGTTAATGGGCTGATATAGGACAGTCTGCTTCAAGGAAGCTCTGTCAAGTTATGCCTAAACATTAAACTTAACCTTGACTGTATTAGCATAATATATCACTGCCACCCAGGTTGGTTTTCTCTCTACATCAATCATTTTGGTCAAAGAAGTTTTCACTCCTTCATACATCTCTAATCAGATACTGTGGGAGCTATCTGTTATAAATAGCATAGGTGCATTGACATTGTGCTATCGCACAACGAAATTAAAGGCCTTCCCCAGTACACACCACAAAACGCCCATACCTCCACACCCCGACCACCACCACACAGACCCCAATGTCACATCAATGCGAATCTATGGAGTTCAACATAGCCACAGCTCTAGGATAAAGCTATCTTTTGTTTTTGTCATCCTGTACTCTGTCTGCCAGATGGCAATAATTAAAAAAAAAGAATATGCTGGTTGAGGTGGATCCCCAATAATGCTCTGAGCTTTCTTAAGGCTGAGGGACCGATAAAGTTCTTCCAAACAGGGGAGAGGGCAACCAATGATTCTCTGTGCAGAAGTGGTGACCTTTTGGAGCGCCTTTCTGTCTGCCTCAGTGCAGTTACCAAACCATGTGCAGATGCAGGTTAGGACACTCTCTATAGTACAGCGGTAGAAAGTCACCAGCAGTTTTTCATTCGGTTGTTGGTTCCTTAGAAGTTTCAGGTAGTACAGTCTCTGTTGGGTCCTATTAATCCTAGTTTCCAACAACTTAATCAACCCTGCCATATGGATGCTTCAAGTTGGATCCTCCTTAACAGTGACACCCAGGAATTTAAAACTGGCCACCTGCTCCACTTGGTCTCCATTTATGACCAAGGGCTGAATTTCTGGACTCTTCTTTTTATAGTCCACTTGGTATTATTGGTGTTAAGAATCGTATTATTGTTCTTGCACCACGGGACAATAATGTTTCTGGACTTTGTGCGGATACGTGAAGTAATAGATAATACAAATCCTATTCTCAGTGAGATCAGTAATTGAGTTACTGAACAGAGTGTAGCTCATACAGGATAATAAATAAATAAGTGAAAACCTGTATATAGGTTTCATAAATAATACAGCAATGCAGTTTACTCAGAATTAAATTAGTGATCAGTGGATTATTCTCAAGTAAATGGGTAGGGGATAACAGCCAGGATTTATATTATGTTATTTTTTATTTTAAAAAGTAAGGCTCCTACAACTTAAAAGAGTTGTAGGCTGCATTTGTTCCACCAAAGATGTTATTTGGCAGTGATCTGAAGTCCAGGTTTCTTAGAGTGTGGTAACCAGCAAATGTATAATGGACCTCCAGAACCTGGGGCAGGAGTCCGGAAAAGTAAAAACCAAGGGATGTCAATAGGCAGAGTGTTTTAGCTGCTTTGGTTTGAAGCAAAAGTTTATTCCCCACAGTTCCTCATACTATTTTTCCTTTCAAAGAAGATTTTCAAGAAGCTCTTGACCATTAAAAGCAAGTAGGGTGACAGTAGAGAAAGTCACCAGTTGTTTCCACCATTTCCCCAATCCTCGGTGTCTTCATTTGAAACACCAAGTGCTCTGAGAAACCTTCTCAGTAGTCACACTGTTAGGAAAATAACCTCACATAAGCTTACTATATGCAGTACAGAAATTGTACTTCATATAATGATAAATTACCCTAACCAATTTCAACTTACCAAGGATGTTACCTGCAGTGAACACAGACCACAAAAGCAAAGCACTGTCCATAATAAACAGAAAACAGGATTGGAAGGGGGAAATGACTCCTAATGAACATCAAATTATAAGTAATAAAGAGCTGGACAAACAAAATAGTTAAAATATCTTTGCATATATGCAGTTGGCCTAAAGTAGCCAGCCAACTGAAAGGTTTAAAAGGATAGCTTCATCAAGTTCTCATACATCCTGAATAAAGGTTATTCAAGTTTTGAGTGCATTACTGTGTAGAGAATGGTCACAAACTTGCACACGTTGTTCTCAGCACAGTGCCAGAAAGGAAAATGCCAGGTGTTGGCTAGTCTACATAGAACATCCTCATATCAACTCATATTCAAAATCTTGATATGCCAAGTTTACAGAGCCTAAAAGTACATGTCAGTGGTATCAACAGAGCTGAAATCTGGCAGCTTCCTGAAAATATAATTCAGTTTTGTTACTGCAGCTGTAACAGGGACAAGAGAACAAATGGCTATTGAAGAATACTGAGCATAGAGGGCTATTTGTCATCTCATAACTGACTTCATTGAAGCAAGGAAGTGTAGCATACCCCACAGAGCATATCTCCCTCAGAGACTGAATTTTCAGGACGAAAATCAGTATGCCTCATAATAGTCCTCAATCTGACCTCATTGCAGGTGGAGCAGCAGCTTCCATTTGGTGCAAATCCATCCAGCAGCCCTTGCTATAGAAAGGGATCACTAGTATTGTCTTCTTCGAAACATCCCCCACCATTATGAATCTATTCATTTCCAAAAAAGCATGCAGTTGTCAAAGGCACCCCAAAACAGAGGGCATAAAAACGGCATACCCCTTTGCCCTTAGTCAGGTTAGGGCCTGATTATCAGCGGATCACGATCACCAGATCCTTTTCTGATGTGGACCTAGTGGTGAAGGGAAAAGATGGAGCATATTTCCACATCTTCTCCAGTTATTTTGCAAATTTTCCGATGTCTTTTATCATCAACATTTGATGTCTTTGGTAACAGTGAATGGGATCAGGTTGTTATCTTGCCTGAAGTTTAAGGGCTATGAATGAATTCACATTTTTTTGTCTTGCTATTGCAATCTCATTACCAAAACTCAATGAATAGCTCTCACACATGTTCACAAGGGGGATCATGCTTTGGCAACTGCTTCAGATGCCAACCACCTTAAGATGTGTTCACCTTGATCAAAGGTGTTCCCTCAGTACCAATAAAAGACCCTGGTGTAAGTTGCTCTACTACCTTCTTCACTGTTAAACCTGTTTTTTACAGCACTTTGTTTCATTATACTTCACATTCTTATCCTTGCGCTACTTGTTTTTTTTGTAATAAACCTTATTTAAGTTGGTGGGCTCCATTTAATTCTTTACTTGCATCTTCATGGAAACAGAGAACTAAATATAACCTGAATTCCATGATCTTTTGAGCATTAATTATAGCAGTCACTGAGAAAGAAAGATGACGTATACAAGGGAAAAGGAGGAAGAAAGGAAAAAGAAGAAAGAACAGAAAGAAGGAAGAGAAGGAGGGGAGAAAAAATAAAAAGGGAAGGGAGGAAGAGAAAGGGAAAAAGTATGATGGGAGAGAAGGAAAGGCGGAGAAAGAAGGGAGGAGAAAGGAGGGAGGGGGTAAGGCGTATGAGGGAAAGCAAGGGAAGAAGAAAAGAGGTGTATGAGGGAAATTAGAAACGAAAGAAAGAGCCACAAAGAATCTGCCCACCGTTGCCAGAATGTTACCATGGAGATATTGTGAGGTAGGCCTTCCCAGAGCTGGAGAAAGAAAGGAAGAAGATGGGCAGAATCCTTTCCGACATCCGGCAATACCAGTTACATATGCTAGTATGTCACTGCAACTTCCAGTAGCTCCAGAAAGAACATAGAAGAGTAAGAAACGCTGACACTTTCAGTCATCTGGAGAGCTGAACAAGTCCCACCTAGAAACTGAAAAGACTGCCAAACTGGAATTCCAGATATACTCTACTGGAAAAAAATATATGCACGATTAACCTTCCAGGTTAAAAAAAAAAAAGAATGTACTCCCTTTTTTAGGTGCTTCCTTAGGTACTGAATCCTGGACTCCAATTTAGAAACCAAGCTTCTCTTGGTACTTTTTGATAGAATTATGACATGAGGAAAGCATGAGCTAAGCATTACTAGCCTCCATGGAAGTTGTTTCATCCAAAAACTATGAAGTTGTTTCAGCCCTTCAGCTCAGAGACAAAGAAATTGCACTCTGTTCCTGACATATGGCTCCCAGGATACCATCCCAAGGGACATCACACTGTAGTCTTAATTCTAAGCACATTTCTGATTATCGAAATCACTTTGCACACTTTTGGTCCAAAGGGAAATCTAAGGCAATCGCAAGCCCGATTTAAAATGAAATCAGTCTATTATGGCTAGATACAATCCAATCACAATCCAATCTAACCCATGCCTTCAAGTCAATAAAGTATGAATTACTGAAATCTCAGGTGAATCCTTAATACATTATTATTATATTTGCTCCTGGCTCTGATGTTGACATGAACATTAACAAACCTCAGTCACAAAATGTGGCAAATTCACATACACCCCCTGTCATAAAATCCTTTCCTCACGGATATATACACATTGGCTTTATAATGAATCATAGAATCAAAGAGTTGGAAGAGACCTCATGGGCCATCCAGTCCAACCCCCTGTCAAGAATTTTCATATGTTTTCTGGCTATTAGAGTTTCTGCTTGGGAGTAGATGCTTATTTCAAAAACACTAACCACGACTGCTTGCAATTTTTTTTAAAACAAGTTTTATTTAAGTATCATTTATAAACAAAGATGGAAATACATACAAATTAGAAGCATGCAACTGTCACAAATGTAGTTACTGTGAGCACTTTTCCTGCATTCACAGCGTATGGTAAAAACTCCCAACCGTAGTGCCAACTTCAGGTTTCCTGGAAACAGCATTTCAAGGCATTGGATAAACAGAAGAAAGGTAAGATAAAGAAGAAAGTGCCAAGTAAATACACATATGTTAGTCTATACCACATTTTGAACTCCCTTCCCCACTCTTAAGAAAATAAGAAAAAGAAGCAAGTGGTTGTCTTGCCACCTGTTTGATTGTCTTTCAGAATTGATTTACACTGGTGAAACAAATGATGCTGTGAACAACTAATTCTCACTCACCCAAGATAAATGAACCAACAAATATGAATGAAATTATATACAGAGACAGAGGTGCTTGCAGAAGGCAACAATTGCTTGGAAGATTAAAGAGATCAATAAAATTAAACTACCACAAGGGTGGGGGAGAAATCAAATCACTCCCAGATGGATTTTGTTTAGTAAGGTTATATCAAATGCCTCTCAACCATAGCGTTGCTCCTAAAGCCCTGAATACTTAAGCAGTCTCACAGTATAAAAATGAAGCTGGTAGAGGTGTTTCAACATGTTTTGAATCTTCAGGCAGGTAGGTAAGGAGGAGGAGGTTCTTTTTCTGGCATCTTCACTGCCATTTCATAAGTAGGCAGGACATACTGTAAAGGGGGAAATGAGGAAAAGGGTGTTTATCTGGTAAAACAATCATTCACACAAGCTTCCTAGTGAAATAGTAAAATCTCAATCTGATGTAAACTGCCTTCAGCTGCATGAAATATCAAAATATCTACAGCAATAGTCTAATTCAATGGTTCTCAACCTGTGGGTCCCCAGATGTTTTGGCCTTCAACTCCCAGAAATCCTTACAACTGGTTAACTGGGAGTTATAGGCCAAAACAGTTGGGAATCCACAGGTTGAGAACCACTGGTCCAATCAATATATCTTATGTTTTCTGAAGAGCTCCTTCCCACTCCCCTGTGTTAACAGTTTTTTAAAAACTAGCATGGATAAACTCCTTATTTCCACTTGCTTTACCATTTTAACACACCATCTATGTGGAGAAAGTCAATTAGAAGTTACTGCTCTATCTTAAAAGCAGCAGCATGAACCCCTACATGTTTTATTTAAGATAAGTATGAAATTTCTACCCCCACCCCATCCCACAAGATCGTTTTTGACTAATCAACTCCTAATAAGGCAATTTTAAGTCTCAATGGGAGTAATTTGTCAACATTTGGATGGCAATCAATTTGCGAATGCTGTTTCAAGAAATCTAAAGTGATGATCATGTGAATTGCAAAAACATCCCTCCAAAAATCATTTTGAATGCAGGTGAGGAAATATATCGCCAATGAAGCAAATTTTGAAATCAAAGCATTTGACTATTTTAATATCTGGGTGAACTGAATAACCAAAACATTGAATAAATAAATTAATAATCAATTCGGAACAATTTCTTTACTACAATATGTTGTCTATACAGGCGGTCCCCAAGTTACGAACAAGATATGATCTGTAGGTTTATTTTTAAGTTGAATTTGTTTATAAATTGGAAAAGGTACATTTTTCAAGTGTAGCTCTAGCCATATAAATACATATATACATACATACATATGCATGCATGCTCTGAATAGCATAGGGAAAGGTTAACCTCCCTGTGGTGTTTGGTTTGCTGTCTGTGCCCCTGTTCAGAAGATTTTAATCCAATTTCTATCCCTGTGGTCACTGGTTTTCAAAAAATGTGACATGTTGTGGAAATAAGAATTGGAGACAACTTTTCCCCATGATAACTCTTTCAGGAGTGAATTTCCTTTTCTGATTCGCTGCCTGTTGTCTCCCTTTTTTTGGGTTTCTTTTTAGCCCCTGGTGGCTCAATGGTTTAAACCCCTGAGCAGGCAGGACTGATGACTGAAAGGCCAGTGGTTTGAATCCGGGGAGAGCGGGTTGGGCTCCTTCTGTCAGCTCCAGCTCCCCATGCGGGGACATGAGAGAAGCCTCCCACAAGGATGGTAAAATATCAAACATTTGGGTGTCCCCTGGACAACATCCTTGCACACGGCCAATTCTCTCACAGTGGAATCAACTTGCAGTTTCTCAAGTCACTCCTGACACACACATACACCCCCCCCCCCAAATTTTTAACTATGAGTCATTTGTCAGTTGGATGTTTGTAACTCAGGGATTGCCTGTATATATATTACACAGTGTCAGCAGGTTTCTCTATAGCAGGGGCTGCACTGCTTTAGTGGTAGGCACAGACCAAAGCTGAAATTGGGTAATAACGAGGTTATGTATTACTACTAACTAAGTTACATTGAGGACAGAAAAATATTACCAGCATTTTAGCTTCTGTGACTTCTGGAGAAATGCAAAGCTCTGAAGAAGATATAGTTTTCATTTGCTGCATTGCTTCTGAATGCTGAAAAGAAATTGTGCCTTGGGTTCACAGAGTTATCTGAGCATCTTTGCCGCCTCCAGTTTTATTTGCATTTTAAAAAAGCAGGGGCCCAGGCTATCAGCCTTTATATTTTAAGACCAAGTAATTCTTTCTTGGAGAATATGAGAATGAGGAAGCTTGCAAGCCATGAAACCACTGCAAGCAAATCTTTACGTGTGTGTCTCTTGTTTCTGGAAATTATTGCTTAATTCAGGGAAATGAGGCTGCTAACTCATTGACCCATCTTGTAGAAGGCCAAGATCACGGTAGACTTCCCTTCTGATACAGTAAGGGCTCAACTGCCAGCAGTGATCACTCCCAGCAGCACTAGCTCAGAGTGGATTATGATTATGATCTGGCTATCTCTCAGTGGCACATTCAGGGATACCAAATGAGAATGAACTGTATAATCCAATCCTTTCCAAAACGAACAGGATAAGGGGCAACAATCTCTTAATATGGGCGAAACCACACATCCCATGGCTGTACTGTCTGGCAGAAATCGGGTCCCCAAACCCCAAGTATAACTTTCATCTTAAGATTTTACCTGTGGAGGTGCTTCAAATGCAGGGTATACTGCTATTTCAGGCATGTTTCGGTTGCAGATATATTTATAGCAGTTCCAAACACAGTTAATTAGATAAGCCTGCAGAGAAGAAAGGGAAGAATATCATTTGAAAGCAGTCAGCAGCAACAGGTGTACAAACTGCAGCTACAGATATAAGACTCATCATTTAGTTGGCATCTATTTGAAGGGTGCTAAGTACATTATTTATTCTAGTACAAATCAACATAACTGCTTTCAAGGGAAGAAAGCTATAACTACAGCATAAAGGTCAAGTGGTCACAGAGGAAGGATTTTAGCATATCAGAATATATTTTACTACCTTCAAGTTAGCTGGAAAGTATGTCAACGCACAAGAGAGAAAAGCGCAGAAGTAAATGAATAGTGAATGGAAGGAAATAATTATTTAACTGATCTCTGCTAAATCTATGTATTTTTGGTTCATAAAACCACATACACACTGATTAAAAATGACCTGTACTGAATCACACTCTTCTGAGCCCCTGGGAATACTAGCATATTTTAGCAGACAAAAAAATGCCCCATATCTACATGAATATTGAAGGTCATTCAACAATACACAAACTCGAATCCAGAACAAAATTGTTTGCAGGGACCTTAACATATTTTGATGTGCAGATATGCTTGGCTTCTGCAAAAATAAATAAGAAAGAGTCATGGGCCCAGCATTTGTCTCATTTGTTTCTTTCGTGTTTTTGTTTCATACCGTTCATTCAGATGGCACAAAACAGTACCCCCCCCCCCCTTCAGTTCGGAAAAATTGGTGAAGCGAAAGGTAAGTGAGAACGGTAACTGTTTGGTCAGCTGATTTTTGGTGCTCAGCCTATAGCCAAGCACTGAGCGCCTCTTACTCAGCACTCAGATGTAGGCCCTGGCACTTTAACGCCAATGGGCGAAAGATATTCGGTTTTTTTGGACCTTGGACAGAAAAGCTAATTCAGAAAGGCACCCGTTTTTGGGAGAGGTGCTCGAAAATAAAAATGGTGCCTTATGAATGAAACAAACTGAAAAGGATACTGATTCTCTACAAATGCACAAGACTAATAATTAATCAACAGTATTCTTGTGCCCCAAACATCATTATTATTTTTCCAATTGAATTTTTTAAAAAACTTGTTGCGTTATACATGTCTTGAAAGAAAGCAGTCACTTTTATTTATTTGACGAAAGGCCCAACACTATTGCAACAATTCTTCCCTTAAAACAATCAGTCCTTCATCAAGGAAAATGATGCCCAGCAAAGGACTGCTTTTTGTGCCAGTCACTCTACAGATAATCAGAGCATATCAGATGCCGCGGTGATCTTTGCAAGCAAATTTCTGCAGTGGCGCAATGTTGACTCATTTTGTTATCCATTAGCATACTGCATGAGCAACAGTGTGGGGGTGTTACTGCATTTATTCTATAAAATACAGCCAATGTATTTAAGTCTTTGTTTAGCCAGTCTTGTGCCAACTGTAAACCAGTGAATTAAGAAAATGGTCTCTCACCAACATTTTTCAACTGTGGAAATAAGGTTCAGCTGCTATTGCCACCCTGCTGTATCCGACCATGCTAGACTACTTGTAGTGCAAGAGGTTTCTGTTATAGGTAAATACCTCCCTCCCTGCCTTAGTATCACAGCATCACTCCAGTTTTATTCCATAAATTCTTGGTTTAATTGATGTATACTGATGGAACTGCAATTCAGCTCCAACTTAACCAGATATTCTTCAGTAGTTAGACCCATCCTTCTATATCAGTTAGCACAAGCGCACATCCAAAAGGCCCAGTGCATTGGAAATACCATGGATTGCCCCTCTTCCGACATCATAAAGCCTCAAGTGCTTGTGAGAGCACATCTCTTCAGGCTCATGATTCTTCTGAAGTATCAGTACTCTAAAAATGGATGCTTTGAATGTGTTCTCTCTCTCTATATATATATATGAAAATAGAGGGGGAGAAAGATAATCTGATGGTTTTAAGTATTGTTATCTCAGTTGAGTTTTAATTTTTATTGATAGGCTTTTACCTAATTTTCTTTTAGCTCTGTGAGCCATCATGGATTCAATTTTGTGAGAAAAGTGGCACAAATACAATTTTCCACACTTCAACCTGCCAATGTATCCCCTCAGCTCACTCTGACTTTGGTAGAGATTCTTCTTATTTCTCATCAAGCCACTCTGTTTGTTTCACAGAATCTGTGGTGATGAACGTTTTCTTTGAATAGCAGTTCTAAGAGATCTAACACTGTTTCTTTGTCTGCATGCTACTTTGGCCCTGGGCATTCCCAAATGATGTGTCTGGCTGTTTTACACTGAAATGCCTATGGATATTTGTTTCTAGTCCTTCCAATCTACCTTTCATGACCCAGTGCTTGGTCCCTACCAGACAGGATCAAGTGAATATATGCACATCCTGCTTTTCCAGCTTGAAAACAAGAACACTACATTGCTGAAAAAAATTGACATTGTTTAAATCTCTTCAGATGATACTGTCTATTTTTGTGTGAATTCAATAATAAAATATGATACTGTGATAATCAAATGTCTAACTGGTAGCATAAGGATGAAAGAAATCCAGGTTTAAGAAAAGCTGCCAGAAATCACTGCAAAAATAAGTAATTGTTAGTCAAAATAAACAAACCCTTTGTTTTATTATTCACAAAAGGACCTTAACAAGAACACATTAATGAGGTCCTAGTAAAATTAAAATATATGGTTATCAAAAAACTGACCTTTAAGATGATGATAAAGACAAAGAACACCAGAACCGTGAATAGAAGACAGCTTGAATCAAGAGAAAGGAGGTCATCTTTGTATGGGAATTCTGGCTAGAAAACAAAATAAATGTTTAAAGCCTCTACTACTTATCAAAGGAATAAAACATATTCATAAAGGTCTCCTATATATGCAAATTATTCCACTGTTCTGCTTTCATTTCTGAATCTCAATTTGATTCTGCAGAAAATTAAATGTAACAAAAATCATAAACTATTCAAAGTCCTTTAGAAAAAGCAGATCTGCCAGGTATCCCAATATCATTCAGTATGACATAAACTCTGGACTGCAGGATCGCACAACCAAAGGAAATAACCACATACATGTCAATGGAGAATATTCTGAAGAAATAAATTCCACCTGGTTAAAAATCCCATTGATGTTGCTTCCAAACTGGCAATCTGGCTCATGTGAGCTGGTTGGGCTTACAAATGGCACGTGATCTAAAACATTACATCCTCTCACACAACTCATGGTTAGAATTGTTTTCTAAAATACTTACTAGCTGATCTAACGCATTACATCCTCTCACACAACTCATGGCTAGAATTGTTCTGGAAAATACTTACTAGCTGATCCAGATAGTCCTTTATTCTTGGAAGGTATGTCAGAGAACTTATAGCCACCAAACAACTGAGAACAAAGTCAAAAAGCTGGTAACAGAAGAATGGAATCAGCCAGCCAACCCGATGCTAAAAATGCAGGGGAAAAAAAGAATTTGTTTAACTTAAAAGAAAAAAAAATAGTACCAAGAACCAGAAATATATCAACATACTTACAGCAATGGCTCCATACACCATCATAGCACTGATTGTGAACATGAGGAGAGAGATGGCAAAGAGAACACATGCATTTTCTGGTGGGGGAAAAACATCAAAGAGATTAACAGTTAAAGGGTTTTAAGGGGAAAAAACTACACGATCTATTAAAAGATGATCTTAGTTATATGCATTTGCCAAATATTGAATCCAATCCACCGCCAAATGGACTGAAAACCACCAAAAATGCAAAGACCCATGTAGCAACAGTGTACTCTAGAAACAGCAGAGATCAAGATGTTCTCCTCCCCTATTAGTAATTCTAAAGAATAGCTCAGCTAAGTTCTGTGAAGTTGTCTGTATCAATGGGCTAGTTTTGGAACACTATTAGGAAAGGAAATTGGTTGAAAAGTAGAATACATTGATTTTTTGGTAAGTTTTTAGTTTGTAAATGCAAGATAAAACACTAGATGGCACTGAGTTGACTGAGAGGTGAAAATGTTCTGCATAAAAAAGGAGTTAAGAGTGATCAAAAATCTAAATCTGTTGAAACAGTGGAATGTTTAAAAAGTGAGTCATCAAAAAGCAAGGGATGCCTCTACTAATTTGGCAGCAGTAGTTATATTAGGTTTTTAAAACGTATTTTATTTCCTTCTTGTCTTTCCCCTGTCAAGGTTCCTTGAGGAAAAACTCAGTGTGTGCTTGATTTGTGACTAGCCCCCACCCCCAAAGGCAGACGTGGGCTGCTAGCAGCAAAAAGTTTCAGGTTTTGGAATCTGATTCCCAGATAAAGGAGACTCAAACAGTTCTGCTCTGTTCGGTCATCTGCATTCTTGCAGAAACCAAGAGACTAAAGCAACAATTAAGTAAAATGTCATGTGTATGTGTATTCCCTATATTCCAAAATGAATAGGTATCAAAGAAAAGGCTAAACAAATCGATTTCTGCTTTGACTGTACATTTGGTCTAATACATTTGCTGTCCAAATGTAGGCAGGAAGATGTATATCCAATTGGCAACAATAACCAGGGGCAACCACCTTAACTAAGGTGCATAAAGTTCACAAGAAAGTACATTCTGTTGTAGTACAAGTTCCAGTTTTTAGGTCAGAAACTTGAAATTCTATAAAAGGGCTCTTAATGGCTAAGGCTTAGTGTCAATACACAGTTCTGGAACTACAATCTCAAGAATCGGCAAATCTATGCCCCTTTATTAGGGAGAGGCTGGGCAACCATGGCAGGTCTAGGAGCACAATCCTCTGGAGGGCATACAGACTGCCAAGAAATCAACACCTGCATTTGAAAAACATGCTATTTCAGATATTTTAAAGATAAGCTGCCACTCCTAGAGGAACTAAGAGCCGGAAATGTGGGTTACATGTGACCTGGAGCCAAAGTGCATTAGGGAAAGACTCAGCTTCTCAAAGTCTAAACCAGGCATGGGCAAACTTCGGCCCTCCAGATGTTTTGGACTTCATAGAATCATAAGAGCTACTTCATAACTGTAATTTTGCTACTGTTGTGAATCATAGAATCAAAGAGTTGGAAGAGACCTCATGGGCCATCCAGTTCAACCCCCTGCCAAGAAGCAGGAATATTGCATTCAAAGCACCTCCGACAGATGGCCATCCAGCCTCTGTTTAAAAGCATCCAAAGAAGGAGCCTCCACCACACACTTCAACTCTCACAATTCCTAGCAGCCATCTAAACCTTATTCATTTACACTTATAAACTATACTCACCAAAAGGAAATAAAAAGCTTACATGGCAAATGTTTTAGGGAGGAGGGGGCTACTTGTTTTTCTTTAGGCCATGTGACAAGATATAAATGACTTTTCCTATATCCTCTTGTTAGACCGCAGCCTAGACTCCTTCAACTTCATATACCACAGAGGTGTGCACTTTAAACATGCGGAGTCTCTCCTGAAACTAGGGAAGTACTCTTTATCAGTCACATTGCTCTAATCTGTTTTTAATCCGATTTTTAACCTTAATCCACACTGTATTATTTAATTGGTTTTATTTACTTATTTTTGTATTGCGCTTTTTAAAACTATGGCCTTAGCCAGCTTGAGTTCCCATGGGGAGAAAAGTGTGGTATACATAAAGTAAATAAATATCATATCTAATAAAGAACTCCAGATTAGAGGCTTTTCATCAGTGATGAAGGGTATGGACAGACTCATTCCTTCATCATCTCCAGAAACTCAGTTAATACTGCTTCTCGAGATGAGATACAGAAGATAGACTAATAAGACAAGATGTCCATATCCCATTATGTAAGGCATAAGTAAGGTATCTCCTGGACTATGACCTGGTCCTCTGGTTCACACTCTATAGGAGAATTTTGCTCTTCATGCCTTAAGTTTGTGGTGAACTTATAGCCTTTCAGTACAAATCAGAGTAGTGGAGACTCTCCCTTTTCTCTATCTGAAAGGAAAAAGAAGAGTTTATTCTCCTTCTAGGACTACTTCCCACCGTTGTGAAGAAGGATCTTGCCAGGACTTGGGATGAAAAGAATGCTTCTCAATAAAGAGTGACAAATGGTATTCCTCTGTATCAGTTGATCATAAAATCTCACTTATGAAGTGCCACTTCAAAATATCTTCTGGGCTGTAACACAGTACCAGTCCCACCTTGCTCTTACAGCCAACAAATGGACTCAATGGAATGTACCAACTGGGGTGAAGGCTACATTTGCACAGAATGGTATGCTACACCAGGAGTTGCACCCACATAAATAAATATATGAAGAGAGGAAGAGAAGTTACACAACAACCCTGAGTAAGCCTCCCTTGAGTGGAATCTACACACTGCAATAAAAATGCGGAAATAGGAAGAAAGTAAGGAAGCTAAATTGCAAGTAGACATTGGCAATTTGACTTTATTGCCAAGCAGAAAGGCAATGGATTATAGGTTGCTTCCAACACTAAAAGTGCACTTCAAACCTAACTTAAACATTCCTGCCTCTAAGAGAAATTTCAGAGAACAGAAACCCAAGTATAGCTCTCCATTGAAGGAAAATATCCAATTTATTTTTGTTTGTTTGTTGTTTTGAGGCAAGTCACTGTTTCCCCGAGTACCCCTGAGGAGAGAGGTCAGCAACAGGCACAAAATATGGCTTGGCTAATAAGGTACATTAAAAAAAAAATTGACCTGATCAATGTACCCCACAGATTAAAATGCAACAAGCTGGTACTGCAAGATACTTCTGAAAAATACCCCAGAATAAAATACACTTCAATACAATATTCTAAAATGATTGCTTCTCCCCTCTAAAATTAAATACCTACCTGCCACTCTCTCCGATGGGTAGTAGTTACCAATAACTTCATACTGAATATCAACTGTTGGCACGGTATTAGGATGAGTCACTTCAACTGTCAGCAAAATGCCCATTAGAAGATTCACTACCTGCAACAAAAAATAAATGTTGTGCAACCAGAAGATAACATTTAATTAGGGAAAATACTGCTACTACCATACACACAGTAAAATGTTTTAGTCTCCCAGTGTGACCCTGGGTATATTTACACAAAAACAAATTCCACCAAATCCTGTCAAAAGCAAGTCCCAACATGTTCAGCAAGACTGCTTCTGAGGACTGTAACCTATATAGTTGAAGGGCAATCACTACAAAACTGGGGACCAATTTTCTGTTCCCAAGATCTACCAGGGAGTGCCCTGGACTGTGACTCCCTACAATAAGTATCCAGAAGTCAAGGGTCACAAAAACAGCCCTGCTTTATAAAAATCATATCTCAAGTGCTATGATTTTAGAAACCAGCTAAGCACCTGTGCTTGCAACTGAGGGCAACATGTGATCTGTTTTTACAGCTAAGCACCTGTTTATCTTAGAACCAGCTCAAAAATAACGCTGGTAGAGAAATTCAGTTAGCAGTTCATCTATGACCCTAGCAGACAGCAAAATCATTTTTCTCTAGAGAAAGAAGTAAAAGGACTGGAACAAAGAGAAATAAAGTAAAAATGGAAAATTACTAAGCCATGGAAGTTTTAGACAAGGAGTGGGGACTGAGAGAAAGACAGAAACTTTGTAGTCAAAGCAACAGGGGAAGGACAACTGAAATGAGAGAGTTCAAAGGACTGATGACCTGCAAGCCAGGAAGAGGAGAAATGGTTGCTGTCAATTGCTGTTGTAAATTGTAGATAAGGATGCACCAAAAGATAACAAAGGGGAAAGTAAAGTGTGAATGAAATAGTTTGTGTGCGCATGTTTAAAACCTTTGACTATAGAACCCCTGAGTTGCGCCTTAGGAATGTGGCACTTCCTTTTCCTTGCCTACCCCACAGAGAGATTTGTTCAAATAAATCCGTTTTACTTTATCTCTTTGCCTCATAGTGTCCAATTGGATACAGATGGGATTTCAGGGTTGTCTTTTTAAAGGGACACGGCAGTAGGTCTCAACAGAAATCGTTCTGAGACACAGAAAAGGAGTGATGTGCAGCTCTGATATAGCACCTTGTACACCAAATAGAAGGAGATACTGGAATTTTATTGCAGCCATCTTTCCCAGCTCTTTGAGGGTATAAAGAATATGGTAACAATCCCACAAAAGTTTTGCTTGGTCTGTTTGTGAAGAACAGGAATAGGAAGAGCTAGGACAAGCAGAAGAATTTGGGACAAATCTGGGAGAAATGAATCCCAGAGATGTCTGTATTGCAACACAGTGAATGGAACAACCCTCAAATCCAGTGACCTTTCAACTTCCAACAATCTGACCTTATCAAATCCACAAATATGACCTGATCTTTTTTTGCTTTTGACATATTTTCATTGGGCTCTGCCAACATTTACGTAATTCCACAGGGAGTTGTTTTTTTTTTTTTTTTGAGAAAAATAATAGTCCACGAAGTTGGGCCCTTCTCCAGAATATATTCTGATGTACAACCTACCATTGTAGAAGTATAAAGACAAGAAATGACAGGTTATCCAAAATGCTTGGGATCAGATGCATTCTGATATTTTTTTTCAGATTTTGGAATGCCTGTATTTTCATAATGAGATATGTTGCAAATGAAACCCCAGTCTAAACAGGAGATTCATTTACGTGTCATATACATTTCATACACATACACAAAAGGTAATGTTATGCATTGTTATGCACCAGCAGAAAGCAAAGATGTCACTCTTTCTTGGATTCTGGAATATTTTTGATTTTGGAATTCCAGAAAAGGGATGTTCAATCTATAGAAACCAATTTCACTATGCTTGGGGTTCCTCATAAGCGTTTGCTCCAAATATAGTACAACTCCTGTATCTGTGGGGGGTACTTTCACAGGTTTTGTGTAGATAGGCAGAACCACAAATAACAGGAAACCCTATTGAAATGGAGGATTTCCAACCCAAGAACACTAAAAAGTCATACTAGAGGACCTAGAAAATGCCTATAGTGGATTTACTCTATCAGATATGTAGAAATGAGACTTCACTAACTGGCCCGCAGATATAGGGGCTGTACTGTAGTTTCAAATGGAGTGCTTAATGCTGTTTGAATATTCAGCCTTCCCAGCCCAGTGCCAACACACAACGTGCAAGTGTTATTTTCTAGAGGCCAAACTCAGGCCAAGAGTGAACATAAGAAGGGCTCTGACAATCCAACAGATCAAGTTCACATGAAATCATCCTTAGGGAGACAAGCAGTAAGGTTATGAAAAAGAACTATTTCAGCCACTTGTATCTCCCTAAAAGAACCCAATGTACATTCATTGGGGAAAGGACAGTACTCCAGCCACTTGAGATTTCTGGAAATTGAGCTGTTAGAAAAGCTTTCCTCAAACCTTGCTAACTAAACATTTGCATTTATTTAATCACACACGAGTTCTGTTCACATAACTGAAAGAACGGAAGGGCAAACTATGGTGGGAATCAATTTGCACTCCTGCATTTGCCTCATGGTAAGATTCTTGGTTCAAAACTGACTGTAAATATCCAAAAATGATCAGAAGCACTTCTAATTGGTTTTGTGTGTGTGAACTCTGGCAGTCTTTAGGAGGAGTTTGAAGACATGGTTGTTCCAGTGTGCCTTCCCAGAATAATGATCCCATAGCACTTTGTCCTCCAAAGCACTTTACATATTAGGTCTGCTTGTACGTTTTCCACAAACGCCATTTTCACCTTTTCGCCCATGTCCCGGCATCATTTCCAATTTTAACTTTACATTTGGCCTTAATTGTGTGTTGTCTTATTGTTAATTGTTGCATATTTTATTGTCTATGTTTTTTTTATTTTAATTGCTTGTATTATTATTGCTTGTGTTGTTGTATATGGGCTCGGCCTCATGTAAGCTGCACCGAGTCCCTTGAGGTGATGGTAGCGGGATACAAATAAAGTGTTGTTGTTGTTGTTGTTATTATTATTATTGTTATTACTTACTCAAGTCCCTTTATGCATCCTAACATCCCTGGTGTCAAATATAATCTGTACATAATCCTATAAAATATTTTCTTTAAATCACTACTCAAAATAAACTTCAGACTCTTCATTCATACCTTTTTTCATTATTCCAATTGGATTTGTGTACCTATTTTTGAGCCCATTTAACCTCCTGCATTTCATAGTTTAACAGCAACTTATGTAGTTTTATTGTCATCACCTGTACACAGTAAGTTGAAAACTCTGATTTAACTGTTTCAATCCATTTTTATCCATCTGAAATCATTCAGTTATTTGCCTGCAGGTAAACCATTGTACTGAATAACCTTCCACCATCAACTACTCTCTCATCTTAAATCTATCTAGTATTAACAATTCCTTACAAATCAGCTAATTTCCTTCCATGGGAATTTATCTTCTGGACAATGCTTCATGTGGAGAACACTGTAAAAGCAACAATGAATGGATCTGGGAGTTGTTTCTATCTATCACTGTAGCTTAGAAGGGAGATGAGAATTTCCCATTTTGAATTTTCTAGAGCAGTGGTTCTCAACCCGTGGGTCCCCAGATATTTTGGCCATCAACTCCCTAACACCTGGTAAACTGGCTGGAATTTCTGGGCGTTGTAGGCCAAAACACCTGGGGACCCACTGGTTGAGAAGCACTGTTCTAGAGACAACCGGAAAACTTGTTCTAAAATGGATTCTAGAATGATTACTTCTCCTTTCAATCGCCTATGTTTTCTTATGATCCAAATTTTGGGAGATAAAGAAATACATCTATGTTTTTTCACATGCCAGAGGAGCTGGTGAAGCAGGCTAACTGGCCTTCCCCTTTTCTTTCTGTTTGCTCTTCCCATATGCTCAGTAAGTTGTTCTGAAAGCAGGTGTAAGCACACACAGCTACTGTAGGATCACCAGTATAAATGCATTCAGTCTTTCTCTCCCCAGTCCTCCTTCCAGTAACAACACTGATTTTAAAAACTTTGAAAAAGGACTTCTTTGTCAGACACTCTGTTAACTGAAGCATGCCTGTACCAGTAATAGTTTTCATTATAGGAAAACAAGGAGAACATTTAGAGCGTGATAGATCATGTTTCCCTTACATTGGTGCAGTTATGGTTTGTACAGCAACTGTGCCCATTCTTTGAGATACTATATCGGACTACAGTGACAAATGTCTTCATTAAATTCAAGCTGGATTACTGTAACTCATGCCACATGGAGCTGCCTTTGAGGTGTTTAAAAATAATAGCTGGTCCAAATTTCTGCAGCAAGGCTCTTAACAAAGCTTGGTTACAGGGATCACTGTGTATTTCTAGACTAGTCTAGATATGTTTAGAAATTTTAGCAAAAAAACCCATCTCAAAAAACTCTAGGGTGATGTACTTACAGCTCAAGTATCATGTCTTAACTCTTAGCCAAAAAAGGAAGGATCCACACCCTTCTATGAGTTTTTAGAGAACCTAAAAGAAACATTGACTCTTTTGACAGTCTTTGTGTGGCGCTGCTTCTGACCTTTTCAAATGTCTACGCAGGAAAATGGTAGCAGCAGACAAGGGTGGCTGGCATCTTGAAGTTGTGCTGGAACTTCCCCTCTTTGTGAAATTACCCTAGACTTATCTACAGGTCATAGCAAAATCTATAATTTTGGCCCCTATATCTGGTTTAAACTTATACATGAGGTCAACATATACATGAGTATATACAGTTTATACGGTAAACTCCTCTGTTGCAATAATATTAATAACTGCCAACGAGTTTCAGGGGACAATTCAAAATTCTACCTGTGTTCTACAGGCCCCTTCAGACAGGCTTTATATCCCAGGTTTTCTATTTATTCCAGATTATCTGGTAGTGGAATCTCATACAATCTAGTTTAAAGCAGAAAACCTGGGACCAGATCCTTATATATAAAGCCTGTCTGGAAGGGCCCTATGAGGTCCCTCATCTATACAGTTTGGCTGCAAATTAATCAAAGAACCATCTCCTAAACTAGTCTGCTTGTGTGTGTGTGTTTTTTTTTTTTTGAGCCCTTCAATGGGCCTTTCTGTCCATCTCAATCTCCTCACGAGAAAAAGATGTACAGATGACATTTTTCTGTTTTAAGAGACCTCTGAAAACTGACTGCTTATGGGGAGAAAAGCCTTTAATAATGTGCTACCTATCTCTTCCCCCACTCCAATCCAGGCCTTTCCTTTGTATAGTGATGACTGCAGACATCAGTTTGTCATAATCTCCAACATTTTTAAAAATTTGGATCTCCCTGAGAAGATCAAGTAATGTATTAACATTTTAGGCAACAGAAACACACAAGCATAACTTGATTGTTTTAAACTAGCTTGGTTCAATACTAATCACCCCAAAGCTGACAGAACATACAACTAAAGGAGACAGATTTTGAACATTAGCAAAAACATCAGGGTTTTTTTTTTCATAAGCTGAACCATAACATTCTCCTTCAAGGGGATTTGTTTTAGCTTAGTTTAATAGGTTTATTTTAATCTGCAACACAAACACAATAAAAATGCTTCATGAATAGAGATACATTATGTAATAATTTCTGGCCCAAGTACCCAGTGAACTTTTCCCTTTTTTAATCTGCCAAAGGACAGCTACTAAAAGACATTCCATCTTGTATTTGACTTCAGTCACTTCCTGGTCAATAGATTTAATATCTATCTTCACCCCTATTGCCAAAACTAGATACAAAAGGATTCTCTTGCCTGGAGAAGAGAAACCCAGCTTTTAAAACACTTCTTACAAACTGTAGTTATCTCTACTGCTTTATTATATATAATTCAAAATGATGGCTATTGAACTTTTTACATAAAGCTTGCTAGAAAAGCATCAAAATTATTTTAAACCGAATAAGCAAACAAAACAAAAAAAAACTACTACAGTAAGTCCCCTGAATGTCTAGTCAAAACATTACAGAATTCTGACAAACCATTGCTGTAAAAGTTCAAATCATAGTTTAATTATGATAAATCACATATAAAAACCCAGGGTATGTCCTAGAATTGGACACCCCAAATACCCACTGGATTCAACTGGATTGCATCCAGATACATGTACATATACCTCACCACACTAGAGAATGAATCTGCTTTAAACTGGTTGCTGCCTCCTGCAGAATTCTGAGGTTTGAAGTTTAGGGAGGAGCCTTTAACAGCACCACTAAACTACAAACCCCACAATTCTGCAGGAGGAAGAAACCAGATTTAAAGTGGATTCATTCTCTAGTGGGATGAAGTAGCATATGATTGTAGCATAGTTCCATATAAAGCAATTACAATTCTAAACTATTGTTATTGTTATGCACTGCAGATAAATGAAAACCAAATCTTGCAATTATAAATAATTTATCCAAAATGAGCACTGTCCTGTCTTTTCCATAATTGCTGCAGCTGCCACTTGCTTAAAAGTATAACAACATATAGCCCATAGGAAACTGCAAAAGCTTCAACTTAGAGCTTAACTGTGTTCCTTCCCAAGTAAAGTATTTTCTGCTTCTTTTATGCAAAAACTACTGCTGCATGTATGAAATTTTGGAAGGACACATTGTCTAATGAGTCTCACTCTTTGGTTTTATACATCCACAAAAAAAAAGCGCCTGACAGAATTCCTTCCTTATTTCCCCTACATCTATTTTAGTTCATAGAACTTGAAAATGCTACCATCTTCGGTTCACCTGCCAGAAAAGATCACAAGCACACCACCTGTTGCTATTGAGCCCTTGTATTTAATCCTGTAGCTGAGTTAATATCTGTGTCTTGAATGCAAGTAATTTACATTCATTCCAAGAGAAAGTATTTCAAATCAAAGAGAACTATGTTTCTAAAGTTTGCAGGGCAGATAAGCTAAAGAACTTGTAAAACTAAAACACACACACAGTCTCTACCAAGTAATAAGATAACATCATATGGATAAAAGGTGAATCAGTGTCTCTTGAAATCAGGATTCCAGGAAGTCTCCTTTCTCAATTCTGTCATTTGCTGCCATATTACATTCTAGAACAGTGTAAATCATGCTATTTTATTTGTTACCAGCTTCCTATCAAAAGCCTTATATAATACAGCCATAAGCCTCTGAAAGTCAAGCATAAAACGAGGATTAAGCAGATTCATAGAGAACAAGTCTATCAACAGCTATAATGAACCTTCCTATTCAAGAGCCAGCTGACAAGCAGCAGATGGGGATCCAGCAACTGCATTCACTTCATCTTTGTGTTTTCTAGAGGTGACTCATTAGTCACCAGAAGGAAAAAAAATCACTAGACCGGATGAAGTGGCAAGGGTCTGTAGTGCAAAAGTAACTTTTCCAAAGCTCTGGGTCAAAGAGAGTACCTCTGCCAGTTTAGTTTCTCATCTCCAAGGTGTTGGCTCCACCAAAGTGGGCTGATGTTTCATCAAACAACAAACCCCAGGATTCTATTGCATTGAGACATGGCAATTAAAATGGAGTCAGACTGCATTAATTCTACTGTGTAGATGCATCCTAGGGCACCCCAAAGTTTCAGAACTTCCTCCTTTTTATGGATAACTCCCAGAGTCCCATCCTCTCAAAATCCCTTAACCATATTGTCTACTGAGCATAGCAGGTAAGGAATCCATCTTATCTAGAAATCCAAAAACTTCCAAAATAATCCAAGTAGGTGGCTGAGCCAGCCAAACGTTTGCTTTCCGTTGATTCAATGTTGGTTCCCTCCTTTGTCTTGAGCACAATGCTGTTAAACGATGTTGTCTGTATTAGGAGTACATAAATACAAATTAATTTTGTTTCTAGACTTGGGTCTCATCTCCAAGATATCTCATCATTGACATTTTTTTCAATATCCCATCTTTGCAAATATATATTTAAAAACCTCGTAAAGACCAATGTCTTCCAGCAGGCCTACCCAGACAATCTTTAAACATGAATTTTAAGTGTCCTTGGTTTGATCTTTGTTTTGTGTGTTTCAGTATGTATTTTGCAGATAAGTTTTGATGTGTAACTTTTATGGAGGTACATTTTAGTGTGTGGATTTGTAGTGTTTTTGCAGTGCTTGTGTATTTTAATTGTTTTGTAACCCACCTCGAGCTATGAGGAGAGCCGGATAAGAAATAAAATAATAATTATAATTATATAGAATACATCAAAATGCAACAAAAAGTCTAAAATACTTATGGTCCCAAAATATGAAAATCTTTAAACATGAATTTTAAGTGTTCTTTGTTTGATCTTTGCTTTGTGTATTTTAGTATGCATTTTGTAGATATGTTTTGGTGTGAAACTTTTACGGAGGTATGTTTAAGTGAGTGTATTGGTAGTGTTTTTGCTGTGCTTGTTAACACTTTAATTGTTTTGTAACCCGCATCGAGCCATGAGGAGAACTGGGTAAGAAATAAAATTATTATTATTTTACTGACACAAAAACACAGTATGTCATAGCAAATGAGATCTATATGCTGGATTTTGTAACACAAAATCACAAGTTGAACACTTCCCAAGCATCTAGGACTGTGTGATGTAGTTTCGAATGATGCGTGCAGATCCAAGTAAGGTGGCCTTTTACAATTGAAAGATTATGATTTTGTCGCAATCTGTTATTATTATTTGTTATTATTATTATTATTTTACTGACACAAAAACACAGTATGTCACAGCTAATGAGATCTATATGCTGGATTTTGTATCCCAAAATCACAACTCGAACACTTCCCAAGCGTCTAGGACTGTGTGATGTATTTTCGAATGATGCGTGCAGATCCAAGTAAGGTGGCCTTTTGCAGTTGACAGATCGTGATTTTGTCAATGTTTATTGTTTCCAAATGCCGGCTGAGATCTTTTGGCACGGCACCCAGTGCGCCAATGACCACTGGGACCACCTGTACTGGTTTATGCCAGAGCCTTTGCAGTTCGATTTTGAGGTCTTGATAGCTGGCTGAGTTTTTCCTGTTGTTTTTCCTCAATGCGACTGTCACCTGGTATGGCGACATCAATATCCAAACTTCTTTCTTTTCCACAATCATGATGTCTGATGTAATGTGTTCCAAAACTTTGTCAGTCTGGATTCGAAAGTCCCGCAGTATTTTTGGCGTGTTCATTTTCCACTACCTTTACAGGTTATTGTTATTATCATTATTATTATTATATAGTATACATCAAAATGGAACAAAAAAAATCTAAAATATGGTCCCAAAATACTCAATCTAAACTGAGGCATGTAGCCTTTCAAAACAAATATATCCCCCCCCCCCCCCCCAAGTTCTGCGTTTGTAAAAAAAATAAATTCATCTTCCTTGGGCAACAATGCCGCAATAAGGTGAGGGCTTGGGCGCATGCGCACTGAGAAAGATCAGCTGGCACTTCACCCCAGCCTTCCCCTCCCAACCGAACCCGAATTCCGCCGCGCATGCGCAGTCGACACAAGAGCACCCCTTCGCCTCCTCTCCCCGCCCCCCGCCCTCAACGCCTTCTTTTCGGAGCCCAGCGCTCTTACCATATACCAGGTGCCCAGGATGATAGTCCCGGTACGGACGTGGCAACAAACGCAGCAGCGAGTGCTGTAGAAGCGGCTCCGGCTCCGCTTGAACGTCATCGTGGCGGCAATGGCGCCTCTCCTTCCCTCCTCTCTCGCTCTCTCTCTCTCTCGCCACAGACCTGACGCCGAAAGGAAAGGAACGATGAGCAACGGCCGCTCGGAAAGCTATGGCCAATCAAGAGACGGGAAGCCAAGCGTCAGGGCGGGACAACAACGGATAGGCACGCGAGGGAGCCAATCGCGAGGCGGCCTGCGAACCCACATTACTCAGACATGAGATATCGGGTGACGGCGACAAAGGGGGCGGGGCTTCCTGTTGTCTGGAGTTTGCGTCAGGCTGCGTGATGATTATGACGACGCCTCATCTACTCTTTAGACGTGACAGGTTTGACAGCCCTTGGATTGCCCCGGCTGAAGGCTGCCCTGGGAGTTGTAGCTCGGTAGAGAAGGCTTGCGAAACTACAACTCCCAGGATGCCATGGCAACAGAAACAGAGGAAAAACTTTTGAGTCTGACTCACTTTCAAGCCTTTATTCTGGAAGGTTAGCCTACTAGGTTGGCTTGGTTTTCACTTTCTCCAGCTTTGAGATGACCTACCTCACAGTGTCTCTATGGCAAAGCTTTTTGTAGTTTCCATGTCTTTCCTCTGTTTCTCTCATACACACCTGTGGCCCTCTCTCTTCTCTTCCTTTCTTCCCTTTCTTTCCTCATCCTGCTTTCTTTTCCTCTTTCTCTTCCCTTTCTTTCCTCCTTCCTGCTTTCCCCTCCTTCCCCCTTTTCTGCTTTCTTCTTCCTCTTCCCTTCTTTTTCTCTTTTCCCTCCTTCCCTCGCTTTGGCCTTTCTTACTTCCCTGCCTTCCTCTTCCCTTCTTTTTCTTCCTTTCTTTCCCCCTTCCTTTGCTTTCTCTTGCATCCCCCCTCTTCTTTCTTTTCTTCTTCTTTCCCTTCCCTTCTTTTTCTCTTTTCTCTCCCTCCCTTTGGCCCTTCTTCCCTGCCTTTCTCTTCCCTTCTTTTTTCATTCTTTCCCCTTCCCTTACTTTCCCTTGCTTACCCTCCCTTGCTTTCTTTTCATCTTTATCTTCCCTTCTTTTTTCTCTTTTCCCTCCTTCCCTCCTTTTGGCCTTTCTTTCTTCCTTGCCTTTCTCTTCCCTTCTTTTTCTTCCTTTCTTTCCTCCTTCCCTTTCTTTACATTGCTTCCCCTCTCTTCTTTCTTTTTTTCTTCTTTACCTTCCCTCCTTTTTCTTCCCTGCCTTCTCTCCCTTCTTTTTTCCTTTCTTTTTCTCCTTTTTCTTTCCTCTCCTTCCCCCTTCTTTTCTCCTTTCTTTCCTCCCTCCCTTACTTCCTTACTCCCCCCCCCTCTTTTTTCTTTTTTCTTCTTTCCCTTCCCTTTTTTTCTCTTTTCCCTGCCTCCCTTTGGCCCTTCTTCCTTTCTTTTTTTGACTTGCTTTTGCCTTGCTTTCATCTCCTCTCCTTCCCCCATAAATTTTCCCCTTTTCTTTTTCTTCCATTGTTGCATTCCTTTTCTTTCTCCATCCTCCCTTCCTTCTCCCTTTTGTCCCTCCTTTTTCTCTCTTTTCTTCCTCCCTTACACAATGTCACTTACCAGAAGCCAAGCTTCTTCACTCTTTTTCTTTCCCAGTAACATCACAGAGGACCACTTCACCTAGCAACAGCCAATCCTCATTGTTTCTTTTCTTTCCCTGTGCTCTGGGCTTGAACAGCATTTTTTTTTTAAAAAAAAAAACCCCTCTTAATTATTTTGAGTTGGATAATGAAAGGTATGTGTGCCAGGTTTGCCCCAGATCCATCACTCCATGTAGGAAGCTTTGTGGTTCGAAGCAACAAGTACACATTCTCACTTTGACTAGCTAGATCAGTGGCTCCCATTCTTTTTTTGACCAGGGACCACTCTCCAACATTAGTACCAAAAGGGTTACGAATCAGTTTTTGGTCAACTTTAGATTTGATTTGGTTATTTGGGGTGCCGATTCAGAAAATTGCAGTGGATAGACCACATCAGCTCTAGTCCCTGATGTAGAACATATGCTATTCAGTAGTCGCCATCTGCTCACCCACAGAAAACCATATTTCATAAGCCTCATTAGTGTAAGAAGGTTTTGCAAGACCAGTCACTCTCATTGCAACAGTGTACTAACGGTGAGATCGTGGGCCATATTTTGGTTCTTGCAGACCACTGGTGGTCCATGCACCACAGGTTGAGAACCACTGAGATAGATAGATTCCACTCTTCTTTGAGCAAATAATGTATATTTCTTTCCAAACCGGTATGGGGGTAACTAAATATGTATTGGATCACAGTTTAGATTATTCACTAGATGTTTCTAAGCAGCATTGGATAAAGAAATGATGCAATACCAGACAAGCTTTAAAAAATTTCATTTCACCTCGTTTCCATGGTAGAAGGATTTTATTCCATACATAGGTTTATTTTCTCATTCATTTGTGCCTCTCTGTTCCATTTGGAATAATTTCAGCCTCACTTTACAGTATAATCCACAAAACTGCAAGACATTAAGTATGGCAGCCATGCCAATGTACTAAGATGTGTGTTAATTCCTCATAGCATCATTCATTCACTAATTCAATCAGTAAACACTTCCTAAATAAGCATCGCAGAGAACAGGATTTAGTCACTCTACTTTCATGCCTTCTAAATTAGGCAATATGTTCCTTTTACATGCATGGATGAAGAAAAACTATCAGTAAGAATGGAAAAAGCTTGCATCAGCTGATAGAAACAAAAGTTTTCTCCTTTTACTGACAAATTGCAAAACTCTTTTTTTTTCTTTTGCAATCCACTTTTTGAAGGAAATAGACAGGACAGGCTTTTTTACCCAACCTTGTCGTCAATCCAACCATTTTCATTCCACCCAGACTTCTATTTCCAAAAATAAACAATGGCTGATGGCTGGAAGTACTGGGAAGTTTACACAATCAATGGCATTTTTGTCAGGGACAACCCTGTAATCTTGAAGAAGATGGAGTCAGTTGGCTTTTGAAAATGTAAATGTGTATTTTCCCAAAAACCTTCTAATAAAAATATATATAGACCAATCACTACAAGTGGGAAATGCTTTGAAGCAGTAAGCATTTTGGCACATTGAAGGTTCCTTCCTATTCAGGACACAAATCTAAAATCAATGTGGGAGTCAGCTCAAAACAGGGCAAATAACAAATGCACAACAGACTAGCCTTTGGACCTCTTTTCTTCAAATCCATATAGGTCATGACCAAAAAGAATATTTACAAAATGCCCTGTAAGTGTTACTTAACATCCATCAGACCCTCCCAAATTAATAATTCAATTTTTCCACTAAAGGTCGTATCAGTTGTGGCACTTCCATTGTTGACTTTAAGTTGCATTCTTGATCTTACTTACGGAATAACCACCCAACAATTCACCACTGCAAGCTGTTATCCTTCTTTGGGATTCAGCTGTCATTACAGTATACAATTTTCAGTGTTGTTGACAGCAACCAAACTGGAAATCACCAAGAAAAGGAAATAAAGAGACAACCAACCCTTGAGCACCTGGCTTAAAAGATTATGGTGTACTTTACTTTACCTGAAAAGTTGACATTTGAATTAAGGTCTTTGTATAATAGAAACCAGTATGACAACTTTGTTTCAGAACAGTATAAATTTATTCTGTTTGCGTATGAAGAAACATTTAACAGCAAAAACAGCTGCAGTTTGAGGAAACCCATTTTAATGGGCAGGCAATTGTTGACTACACAAGGCAAGATATGAAAGGCCCACATATTTTACAATGATGTGTAGTAAGAACTTTTTCTACATTAGTTCTGATGCAATACTTTTTTCTATTGCTGCTAAAATGTGAAATTAATTTTTTTCACAAAAAAAGAGAGATTCAATTTATTGATTTCTTCGTTTACTGCCTGTGGCGAGTTTTGAAACAATTCAAACACATCATCAGTGGCCTACAGCGAATTCTGGACAATAACAAAGATATCACAGAAGCTCAAAGAAGCAGGCTTTTAATGGCCTACAGTCAGTCTCCAATACCGAACAAACAGGATAGTTGTTACAAAAGAGAACTAATGGGCACAAATCTGATGTTAGAAATGGCAATTCTCTAAAACCAATTGAGAACAACTTAACTTTCCTGAACATTGAAATTGTGTGCTTTTGTTTCCACCTTAATGGCAACCCGGAGATGTATTTTCTTAGCAAGATTTGTTCAGAATGGATGTGGCATTGCTCTCTGAGGTTGAGAGAGTGTGACCTGTCCAGATCACCCATGGCCAATTATGGATATAATCCCAGTTCTCCAGAGTTATCCAATGCTCAAACTACTATACCATGCTGTCTCTCAGTATGGGATTTACAGGCCACAGTCCTTGAACAAGGAAATTGTGAAGGACCCAGAAATAAATTCCATTATTTTGACAAATTTAAATCCTTTAGCAGAAGTCTGGCCAAAAACAGTGGCTTCAAGATATGCAACATACTATCTTGAATCATACTTTAAAAAATGAAACAAAACAAAACAAGAATATAAAATGAAACAAAAGACATATTTAAAACTGCTATATAATTACATTAAAGTTATGTGCAATTATTTTTTTTCCTAAGAACGAAGGTAACATTAATCCAATTGCAGAAGGATTTTTATGAGGGCATGGTTTCCAAAAATGGATCTGGTAAGTATAACATAGATAAAATAGCCTCATTCCTGTTTTTAAAGGTAAATAAAAATAACTGTTTAGCCATTTTTAAGAAGTATTAAAGCGAAGCATTAGTGTTTTAAAATGTGAGTTTCCATGGATGAGCAGAAATTCAGACCTTGGTTTGCTGAATTCCTAGCCTCATTTCAGACTCTAAAACAACTGAGGTTTTTTTCCCGAAACTATAAATTCAGTTAATTATCTTATCCCGAGCTAGACTACAGCATTTCTGAACCATGCAGTTAAGAATAAATTGCTATTGGCTCTTGTCTTCCACTCACAGCTCCTGCAATAGTAGAGGAATGAAAGGACAGGTGTCTCTCTACCTGTGAGAGCATCTGTGGGTGCATCTACAACATAGAATCAATGCAGTTTGACACCATCTTAACTGCAGTATCTCAATGCAATGAACTCCCCGGGTTTGTAATTTGATGAGGCATCAGCCCTCTTTGATTGAGGAGACTGAAAACCTTG